GCAGGGCATTATTTGTTTTACATACCGTTTCGACTCCAGTATGGAATAATTTTTCAGCGACCAGTAAATAGTACTAATTATGGCTAAACTACAAGTCTTTTACGCATGTGCGTACAGGCCTAATCTTGTTTGGGGGGGGGGGCAAAGTATTGGTTTCACCGAATGCTTTGCATTATGTTGAACCGTACACATGTACAACTTTGTTTGAGATTTTTCAGGGCTTTTTAAAGAATTTTCCCGTGGGGGGAGCATTTCTCGAAAAGAAACCTTTCTATGAGATACATATTAGGGGGGAATAGCCATGTTGCCGACAGTGGCGGAAATACACTTTCTCCGCTGGAGGGGAGGGGGGCAAAGCCTGCTAAATTCCCTACAAAAATCTTAAATTTCCGACATACCCCTCATTTCCACTCGAAAAGGCTGTTTTTAGGCCTTTTTTAGGTCAAAATTTCCGAAAATTCGTCAATTTTCAATGAAGGTGAGGGGGGAGGGGCGGCCCTCCGCTCCACCAAGATTTCCGCCACTGGTGGCCGACAGACCCTGCATGAATCCCTTAGGGTCCCGCAGAAAACTTACGTTTGAAATTTGAAGCCCGGAAATGCCATTTCCTTCATTCTGAGCGTTCAAGTTTCCTTTAAAATTTATGACGTTCAATTTGAGCTTCCCTTGAGTGTCATTGCTGTTTTTGAATAGCTGGAAGATGAGTAGTTACATAGTAAGGTATAACAGTAATTATCCAGCTATTCAAAAACAGCTATTGACATTCAAGAAAAGCTCAAATTGAACCTCCACTCTTTGAGTGTGAGCGCGAATGACCTTTTAGAATGCGGGCGTTAGTGGTAGAAAAACATAACAATTTAAATCGATTTTGTTTAGCAAGGACAAAGGATAAAGCCAAAACTTACTTTCCGTTTATCTACCTGTTATTCTTCGCTGATTTGTTAGAATAAATTTAGGAAAGTGGGACTTTTCTTGGAGGGGATGGCAAAATGTGATTTTTGGGGGGCACAAGGGGGGATATTTGCCCCCCACCCAGCTTGTATGTTATGTCCCTGGATTTCGTATATGCTTTTAACAAATGAGTGTGATTGTGTAATGGCGCTTTAGCAGACTTTTAACCGAAATGTCTACAAACACTAAGACAAAAACTAAGAACAATATATGTTCAATATGTTCAATGTTTCCGGAATCTTCATTTTCTTTCCATCATCATTCATATACAGGTGTACTTCATATATGACAAAGTATGTTAAAGGCAATTAATATTGGCGTTCATTATATTTAATTATTCATTATAGACCGCGGTTTTCTTATCAACTTTGACGAGAGTTATATGTTTTGCCCGGATAACACATGGATTTTTGCTCAATTGCCCAAACTTAAAAATTTTGGGGAGGGCCTGGGCCCCACCGATCGACCCCCTTCCGGCCGATGCGCTTATGCCATACTTTGCACTGTTTTGTCTTGAAACACTAAATATATTGTATAAAAGATTCGTAGTTTTATTAATACTAGCTTTTTAGTCACTTGAACATGATGTCATGGTGCAGTCTAATCGTCTTTATAAACTTTAACAATATTAACATACGTCTTTCTAAACGTGCAGGACCCTTTTAGTGATTGAATGAGTGATGTCAGGCCTTCAAAATTTCATACCTGCGCAAGTTTTCCCGTCTCCGACGAATCCGCTTTTACATTGGCAGAGGTATGAGCCTTGAGTGTTGTTGCAAGTCGCATTTCCGTGACAAGGGAATTTTCTTCCAAGCATTCATCAATGTCTGAAAAAGTCAAAATATTATAGGCCTTAGAATTTGATCAGGACTCTACTATACCACACAAAACCTTATCAAGCCTTACCAAACCATACTGTATCAAACCATACCAAGCCTTACCAAACCATACTGTATCAAACCACACCAAACCATACCAAACCATACTGTATCAAACCATACCAAGCCTTACCAAACCATACCGTATCAAACCATACCAAGCCTTACCAAACCATACTGTATCAAACCACACCAAACCATACTGTATCAAACCACACCAAACCATACCAAACCATACTGTATCAAACCATACCAAGCCTTACCAAACCATACTGTAACAAACCACACCAAACCATACCAAACCATACTGTATCAAACCATACCAAGCCTTACCAAACCATACTGTATCAAACCACACCAAACCATACCACCCCATAGCCTACCACACCAAACTATGCCGTAACATACCATATCTTACCACATCATAAAGTACCATAACATGCCACATTACACCAAACAATTCCACACCGCACCACACCATACAATGCCATACCATATTATTTACCATACTATACGATACCAATCCATTCCATGCACGCCATACCACCCAATGCACGTCACACCTAATTATACCTTACCGCCCTTACCATACTTTACTAGACCAAATCAGAGCACACCACGTAACATAGCACTTACCTTTCCATACAACACTAAACCGCGTCATATCAAAAAACAATACTATATCATAACAGACCGCACCATATAACTCCATACCTTACCATTATGACAAACCAAAACATACCAATCACGCATGTTTTCATTTGCAATATGATTATTTTCATGTTATTCTCCAAAGCAAGCTTTCATTCGCAGACTTTATGTTAGCATCATTCATTGTACATTTGTGTGTTTGAAGGGGTTTTGTAGATGGAAATATTGAGTGGAAGATTATATATAATTTTAGACCTAACCATGCAGAAGCAGCAGCGAAAAATACAACCATATTTACTCTGTGTGTACCCCTTTAACAGTTACTTCTACCGGAGTGAGATCGATGCGAGAAATCCCAATATTTACCCATACACCTTGTATACATTAACTTGTTTTTAGAGCTAAACAACTGGTCTTTGTAGCTCAGTTGGTCAGAGCGCTGTACCGGATTTTTTCCAGCGCTGGTTCGATTCGTGCCAGAGGCCTAATATTTCCATTTCCAAACGTATACCTTCAAATCCCATATGTATGCCTTCATATTAATTAATATTATTATAATTACCATTTTGACAGATCTTTCCTTCGTATCCCTTCTTACATAGACAGTTGAAAGGTTTATCTGGATTCCAGATCATTGTTGCACCATTTTGACATTTATTTACTTCTCCTCTGCACGATGCCTGCAAAATAGTTGATTACATCTTCCGACATTTAAAAATATACTGCATGGTGTCTATTTTAGAGACTGACAAAGTTTAAATACGGGATACATTATTTTTTAAATGGTAGATTCGTATTTAAACCTACAATTCGGAATACTGATTCCCTTTCAGTTGAATGTCAAACGCCAAAATCTCCCTATTGCTACTGTATTCGTCTGCTCCGCATTTGGGTCAAGCAACGCGCATATAATTCAATTCATTTGTCTGCTCTGCATTTGGGTCAAGCAACGCTAGCGCTCATACAATTTTGTGTGAACTTGTCAAAAAAATACGACCACATGTTCAAAACCTCGTCAAGTCCAACTTTGAAAAATGGCTACATAGAACTGCTAGAAATTATCAAATAATTTACTAGACCTTCTGCGGTTTCGATATATATGCGCAAAGGATGTATATACATGGATCGAATTTGGTTTAAAAGCTACGTTTACACGCTGCGATTAATCGTGTACGATTTCTTTTCTGGCGTAGGCCATTGAGTAAACACGCGTAAGCTGGCTAAATGCTGGCTACATTTGAAATTTCTTTTTAGCGCAACGGCAATAAATTATGGCGCCAGCACTCTAAAATATACGCCATTATACGAATCGTACACGATTAATCGTAGCGTGTAAACGTAGCTTAATGGGAGGTATACCCTTTGTCCACAAATTTAGTAAAAAGTATATGTAACTGCTTACCACCTGACTTCGGTCTACATTATCTTTGATGAACGTCCAAACTCTCTTTTTTTTGCTGGCATTATTATCAAATTTATGTTGAGTCGTATTTGTTAACTGACAGTTCCATTCATTTCCCTCAGAATTCTCTTTGTAGTTGAATGCAACACAGAAACGGTGTTCTGCGCAATTAAGGCCGCAAACCTCATACGTTGGTTCTCTGAATTGAGCGATGATGTTTGTTTTTAAACTAGTCACATCTAAAATATATTAATTTATTCAATCAAGGGTTTCATATGACGTATTAATTGACGTCACGTGAGGGCAAGGGTGCGTGGCGAGTGTAAAGGAGGGCGTTTATGTTGTCTATTTTCTTAAAAAATTAGACCGCGTTTAAAAAAAAAATTAGGCTTTTAGACCGCGTTTATACGGTACCGGACGAATTTGGGACTGAAATTTCGTCTTTTTTCTCCTGTTTACCCGCGAATTCGTCAATTAGGGGGTTTCAAATTCGTTCGTTTCGGTGGTTCTCGTGTAAACGAAAGACCAAAACAGACGAATTTCAGCCCGGTTCCAAATTCGTCCAACTAATTAACTAATTTACATAAGATGCATTGACGGCCATTTTGTTTCCTAGCTCTTTTGGTTCACTTCATTTCAATGATTGACTCCCACTTGAGTCAAAATATCACACGATTGAAACTATATATTATCTGTATTTCTTTGCACAATTTCGCAGAACTTCGTATAATTATAGGAAACTGCTTTTGCTATGCAATTTTTAAGTGGTTAAAAGCGTACTATACAGGGTGTATAAAAAAAACTGAACAGATTTAAAATTGCTCTCAATTTCGCAAAACAGCTATTTGTATCCGGTTTTTATATATATAGCCTCTTTGGGTACTTATAATGTAGAATAATGAGAAAAATTTCTCAAACTAAAATTTTGTGAACCAGGGGGGGGGGGGTCTTTTCCAACAAACTAAAAATGGCTCGCGCACAAAATTTAAAAGCTGCAATCATATTTTGAGTTAACAAATGGAAAATTTGTCGGGATTTTAATGTATAAAATTTCAGACAATTTGGTTTAGTTTAAGCCCCTTAACTATTCACGCAAAGTTACAATTTTTCCTAAAAATCAGCTATTTGCATGCTTAATTAATGCATTTGCCTAATTTGCATATGTCAGCAATATGCAAATTAGGTAAAGGCATTAATTAAGCATGCGAAAGGCTGATTTTTTAGAACAAAATGAATAGTTAAAGGCTTAAACTAAACCAAATTGTCTGAAATTTTGTACAGTAATTAAAATCCCGACAAATTTTCCATCTGTTAACTCAAAATATAATTGCAGCTTTTAAATTTTGTGCGCGAGCCATTTTTAGTTTGTTGGAAAAGACACACCCCCCTGGTTCACAAAATTTGAGTTCGAGAAATTTTTTTCATTATTCTACATTATAAATACCCAACGAAGCTATATATATAAAAAACCGGATACAAATAGGTGTTTTGCGAAATTGAGAGCAATTTCAAATCTGTTCAGTTTTTTTTGATACACCCTGTATAGTTCATTAATGCCCAACGTAAGACGACCAGTTAAAAACCATAAACGTTTTGTTAATAGACACTATTATGGTATCATTTAGGCTTATTATCAGTTGTATCCTCTAAATGTAGTTTGTTCATATTAATAATATTAACTATGGTTCATGAGAAAACAATTTTTATTTGAGACGTTTAATAAACGTTTATTCTTAGTCCTGCCTAGATTTTCCATTACAGACCCCATACACACAATTTCAAATTGGTTCCAATACTATTTGCTGTTATAGCTGCGGAGGGGAATCAGCGCAATGCATTGCAACACCATCACTTCTCTGATGGATGGAACATGTAGTGCAACATATTACATATTGTGCAACATGACGTAACAATCCATTGAGCCCGCATTCTTTGTGTACATCGTGGAGAGAAATAAAATGAGAAAAATATAAAATGCTAGAAAAAAATCAGTAAATTTTATTAGATTCTATTTGTTTTTCACTGCAATTTCATTAAAGTAGACGTTGGTGATATTCACAATATGATTTGGCGCAATTTTGGTCGACGTACTTTACTACATTTGATCCGTTCATCACGACACTGCAGGACGGCTACTTCTCAGTCTGAAGTGAAGAAACTGTACATGAGAAATGTTTTTAAAGATAACCCTTCTGCAAAATATTATCTTCTTACAGTTGTCGCTGTTACTGCTGGTACAACATACTACGTTTATAACAATCAAAAAAAGAAGAAATTTATATTGAACGTTCTTCCAGCTGCCCCAAATCACTACACAATCTCACACTATGATGAAATTGCTAAACTAAAGTCTCTTCTTGAAAGGGGTAAGACCGGTAGGTTACACGAAGTACATATATCCGGACCTCCAGGCTCAGGGAAAACGCAAATAGCACGACTTCTAGCTGAAAGTTTAAATGAAACCAGGAAGGAAAGTTTTCAATTTAAAATATGGCCAAAGGATGAAGTAACAACTACTTTGCTTGCTCAGAGCAAGGAGTCATTATTGGCAAGTTTAAAACAGCTTGCTAGTAAACTGGGTTGTGAACAAGATGAAGTAAAGTTGGAGAGCCATGATTTAGAGCAGCAGCTGGATGTATTTAGTCAAGCTGTTAAAGAGAAATTAAAGCATAAACCATGTTGGGTATTGGTTGTTGATAATCATGATGAAAGCAGACCATTGAGAAAGTGGTTACCAGACTCTGACTGGGGGAATGGTTATGTTATACACACTCTCAATTCTCAGAATATTAGTGTATCAGAAAATGAATGTCAGTATACACATTTTAGTGTGAACCAGTAAGTATCACCTAGTGCTGTGGAAACTCCGGTTTTTCATCTCCGGCCGAATTATAGCTCTGAGCTCCGCCTCCAGCCACATCATAAAATATTAAATAAATGTTTTACGATCAGAGAACATTTATTAATATTATTATGAATAACCCTTTTCGCGCTTCCTAATTATCAGATAACATAACTGACCGGAAACAAAATGTTCAGTGAAAACACTTAACCACGCAGAAAATATCTATATGGAAACCAGCCTTGAAAAATCTTTGACAGTGTTGCAATTTTTATATAGCATGACACGAGGCATGACACTAACACTCTCAGACCATAGTCTCAGACTCCACAGCGCAATTGTTCGCACGCAAACAAAGTACTCTGTCATTTTCCAAAGGTTGATATTTATTTGTTTTGTACTTTTTTGGTATCTACAAGGCAAGACTATGTAGCGCTAAGTCAGATGACTTCATGAAAGCATGATGTTTAACAGCAGTTTGCAGTAACTAACAATCGTTTGACATTTGTCTCATTTCAATTGTTTTCTTGTCATTTTGCCGGAGTTGGGAAAATGTAACTCCGGCATACAAAATTCTGCTCTAGCGTCAGAAAAACCGCCAGAGCTCCGGCAGAACTCCAACTCCGGCGCACAGCACTAGTATCACCTTTCAAAAGGACTTAGTACAATATACTTGGAATAAGTATAGGTTATTGTCGATTTCAAGTCACTTTTCAATGCACGGTTCCCAAGTTCGTTGCGAACTTGCCAGTTACATTTCCAAGTTCGGAAATTGGGCGCGAACTTCGCAACAAAGTTCGCAAGTTCATTCCAATGTTTGAACTTTGTTTGTAAACAAATGTTCAATACATACTCAATAATAACCAATTCAATGACATACAAACTTCTTGGTGGCCTACTGGGCCAAGAACTTTCTATTGAATTGTCGATTTCAACTTGAACTATGAACATTTGTTTACAATAGTTCAAACATTAAAATGTACTTGCAAACTTTGTTGCGAAGTTCACACCCAGTTTTTGAAGGAAACATATTTTGCAAGTTTGCAACGAATTTGGGAACCGCACGTTGAAAAGTGACTTGAAATCGACAATAAGGCCACATAAAAAATATAGTTGGTTAGCGTCCTCGCCCGCAAACAAAAAAGGCCCCGCTCAAGTTTTTTTTTTTTTATTTAAAAAAAACCCAACTTTTATTGATCAACAACCTCTAATATATGTAATATTTCTGTTGACTGTAGTCAATTGTGCTAATAAATTGCAAAATTGCATGTGAAAATGACGGACGGGTATGAATTATATTTTGAAATAGATAAAAAAAATCTGTACTGCGCAAGAAAATCCAGTTTCGGACCTAAAACCAAAGCGTTAAAAATTAGTATAAATTTTTAAAAATATGCCAGCCTGCCCACTTTTTGGCAAAAGCTAAGGACACTAACCAACTTTTTTTTTATGTCGCCTAATTTATAGTACAGGTTTGTGCGACCGTGGTGTGACGTTTACTTATCTTACAATTATCATTAACATAACATTAACATGCATATACTGTACAACATTAACATGCATACACACCTTAAAGGAAACTACACCTTTCCCAATTAACATTGTAATCAGTGCAACCACAAATATTCTAAGTTCACATGCAACAACCCATGCACACTACAACTGGACAGCAGGGAATGGAGGGATATTCTCAGTTGGTAATCTTGATGTATATAATGAAAATGTTATGTTTTAGACAAATGTAAAGAAATAATATTTAATATTCTGTGTTTAGATTGACAAGTGAGTTTGCCATACAGATCTTCTCTGGTATCACAAGTGAATCTACTGATGATTTGGAAAGTCAGAGAGAACAGCTAGAATACCTTTTAAATCTACTCCAATACAATCCACTATCAGTTGCATGTGCTGCTATTTATTACAAGTATAAAGTTCAACAAAATAGAAACTACACCCATGAAAATCTGTGTACAGATATTGATCAAACTGTAAAACAATTGCAAGAAATAGATCCAGGTTCAAACAAGTTGCAGATTATTCAAAGCAGTTCAGTAACATTAGCTACTAAAGCATTAGGAGAATGCTCTCCAGAACTTCTTCACGTTTTCGACTTTCTTGGATCATGCAGTGTTAATAACCCTATCCCAGTGTCCCTTTTTTCGCACCATCTGAAAACCTCTACATACCATGTGCAAATGAAGCCAGAGGAAACTGCAGAACAGATTGTACCTACTGAAGACACCAGCTTATCAATGAATGCAACTTTTGAACAGGAACATAATTTGTGGTCATTCCGTGGTATAGTTGATCGTGCAGTGAAAATATATCAAAGAATCAAACTTGAAGTAGATGCTATCAGAGGTTTGTTTGGTTATGGTGATGCAGCTCTCGGAGCTCAATCTAAATCAATATCAGACGGTCTGGAGGTCATTCGATCTTGTCCGTTATTCATCATTTCAAATGAACCAATGGCAGGTAAGTTAAAACATAATGTACATGCATTGCGTGTAAAGAGAGTGTGTTGATCATCTTTTTGAGGTAGTTTAGAAACAAACAAGTCTAGGGCAGCTTTTTGTAGAATACTCATATAATACACATTTGGAGTTTTGGTTCCAACTGGTACATGAAAAAGATTATTTCACGCTTCCATATGTGTATTATGCTTTCATGAGCGCGTTTTATCAACTACTGGCCTCCAACAACACTTGGTACTGGACCATAGAACTTGCTTGGCACAGACACGTAATGTGTCAATTGCCAATTGTCCAACCTTCAGCTTGCCTATTTCTGCGAAACTTTCTGTATCCCAAATATTCTGCAAACTCACAGTCTTATCTTAAACCACGAAATTTCCTTGTTAAATCGCGGATAAAACCACAATCTTAAATTTACCATTTGCATTTTTTATCGCAATGATACAAAAAAATTGTAATTTGACAGCTAAAGGCTTGATCATTGGTATGAAAAAAGTAATTAATACAAACCCAATATATAACACATGATAACATACCGTACCAACGTTGAATTGCCTTTTTTTATACATCCAGCAGAAAATCACGTTTTCTGTCACTTTTATTGTTGGGGTTAAGAAATGGTATCCGTGTGTTGTTATTTAGATATATGCTCTCAATAACACTTATTTTCATAACGGTATTTCTTCTTGTTTTTTTTTCTTTTAGATATTGAAATTGTTACAGTTCATCCTATTGTACACAATGTACTCCGTCAAGTATTCATGAATGTTACAATTCCGTTACTGGAACAACAACATTTGCTCCTTGCTGAAAGAAAACATCAACATAAGTCATATTTTGGTCGAATGCGAAGTTTTGATCCTCAGTCATCCATTGCAGAATACCGCAGAGGCTTGGGCGATATCGCGTCATTGAAAGTTGATAAAGGTGTTGGTGAGGAGAATTTCGGTTCAGAAAAAGCACGATCATATGTTAATAATATTCATCACAACAAGGATGGTGATGATAGCCCTAGTCAAACCCAGAGTCAATATACCTTTGCTCATTTGCAAGAACATTTGAGTCGTGTGGTGAATTCTCTTAGCAACCATTATCGTATTGCTGGTGGCGACGGCAATGTTCTGGTTGCTAGGACTATGTTGCTACCTCATCTTGAAGCATTACTCCAAGAAAGAAGTTTAACAGCTGCGAGTAGAGCACAAGTGTATCGCACTATGGCAAACATTCATTTTGAAGTGTTTGGAGATTATGCTACCGGTATGCAACTTTTGAACAAGGCTTATGCCGTCACTAAGGAGCGTTATGGCGAGGACAGTCTGGAGATAGCAGGAATATTAACTGAGCAAGCTGAACTCTGCAACACAACAGAGAAACTTGGTCAGAGTAAATTGTTATTAGAACGTGCTGTTGAGATATATCAGAAGAATATCAAAACTTCGCAAACCAACAAGCAACCATTCCAGTATGGTAAAGCTCTTGTTACTTTGGGTGTAACATGTAGTAGTCTTGGTGATACAAGTCGTTCTAAAGATCTACTGGAGAAAGGATTGATGGAATTACAAAATGCAGCTCCTGACGACCCCCATGCCAGAGAAAACAAATGGTTTGCTGCTGAAATCAGTAGTGCAGTCACAAACCTTGGTCATGCTTATCTCTCATTGGGTAAAATCAACCAAGGCCGAAAGTTGTTAGAGCTGGCTCTGATTGGTCACCAGAATGTACACGGTGATACACATCATGAAGTCATTCGTACTCTGACTACATTGAGTATTGCTCATGCTATGCAAGGTAACAGTCAGGAAAGCAAGAGATTGAGAAATGAGGCCGGGAAAATTAAGAAGAAACTAGACATGAAAGCACCACTGTTTTTACATTGATCAACTTTTTATTGTATGATTCCATTTGCTATTAAAAAATTATTGCTTTGTTGTTGATATTAATAAATATAATTATATAGGTCACAAGCAACCCTTACGTAGAGCATCGAACCATTTTAGGTTAAAGATGGCAACAGAGACTATTCAATTTATTAGGATCATATTGTCAGGCTCAGGTTTCAGCTACTGTTCCCTGTGTTCTCAAGCAAATTGCAACATTCAACAGTGCGTCGAAAATTACATGATTTGTAGTCGTATTTTTCATTGTTGAAGGGTTTGTAAATGGAGATTTCGAGTGTAAATTTTATACATTGATTAGACCTATCGTAACCAGCAGCAGTTGCGAAAAATGCAACTATAAGCCCTCTGGCAGGAATCGAACCTGCCAGTACCAGTGCCAGTGCACTAACCAATTGAGTTCGCAAGTTCACGTATAATATACATACTATAAGGGACGGACCATTTGATTTTTCATGGGGGGGGGGGGCGCAAATCCGAAAAAAAATATCGAGCATGTCTCGAATGGAAGAAAAAAAAATCGAACATCACTAAGACCAGCAAAAAAAATATCGAGCACAAAAAAATTCTAAATTAGCAATACTCTATATTGAAAGAAAAATTCAGTTTCCCTTAGTTTTTTGCTGTTGAGTATTTCAGTTCTGCCTTGGCTAACAATACCGGAAGTATACATGCAAAATACAAACCGATACAAACCAGTTCTGACAACTTTGACTTCGATCAATAATTCAATTATCCACAAATTACCTTAATGGTATCCCTAAAAACCCAAATCTTAACACTGAAAGTCCCACACTTCTGTAAATACGACATCGATTAATGATGGTGGGAAAGGGGAGGGGGTATGATTCACGTTTCACAACAACAAAAAAACGTTTCACAATTCACGTGCCATATAAAAAAGAAATTTCACAGATAACGAGACTCCAATAAAAATAATATAATAATAATAGCTTTAAGATTATGTTTAATGCATGGTACAGTACTACGCTTTAAGTTCTCTTCTCTGCCTGGCAGTTGAAAACTACTTACAAGTTTGAGTGATGAGTACGTCCGACGTTCTCCGAAAGGCCTCCGAAGTTTCTACTCTTGTGCAATCGAGTGAGGTCGATCATATAATTTATTATCGCGTATTATGTCCATTATCACTATTATAAAATAGATCGGAATAAACAAATCAAAATCACAGTTCACGAAACAGACATCCTTAATTCCCATTTCACGGAGCATTTTTATCGACAATCACGCCTCACGGCTGTAGAACAAATCACAGACCATGACAGTAAAATCAAGCATTTCACACGATCAAATATTGACCATTCACGCAGTGGCATAGACACGGGGGGGGGGGGCTCAGCCCCCCCTCTTCCCAATAGGCTGAAGGACTGCCCTTGTAAAAAGATGAAATCCGGGTAGGAATTAGGGGGGGGGACGATGACTACCCATGTGACTACCAATCTCATCTGTTCACCAAATTGTCTATAAAAGTTCTAATCTTTCCTAAATCTAACTACAGAAAATAATGCCTATGGTGGTTATTGGTTAAAATGCGTTTTAAAACTTCGATTTAACTATTCACACGCGACCAAGTAAGCTTCGTTGACTCAAATTAAGGATCCACATTATTGAGAAATCATTAAAAATCAGGTCTTCCTGCAGTAAATAATCTTCAGAATTATGCAAAATCTCTCCCCAGAAACACGGGAAATCGCCATTGAGGGACTCCAGATTTCAAAATTTTCCCGCGGGAGGATGCCCCCGGAACCCCCTAGAAAGGCTTACGCCTTCGGCGTTCGATATATGCCCTCCCAAAAATTATAGTCTGGCTACGCCACTGCATTCACGGGTCACAAAAATACCCTTTCCCACCCGGCTCATTAATATCGCTCTCTGATTCTGAATAAAAATCGCAGTTTATAATACGTATTGGGAAAACTGATATGATTGGGAACCGTGAGAATTTGTATATAGATGCCATTACGCCAATGCAAAATGGGTTACACACTTTAATACACTTGATCCAATTTTGATTGGGGCCATGGTCTACATTTCGTAGATGGTCTACATAAAATGGGCCAAGTATAAAATTGGCCAAGTATAAAATGGGCTATGATAGTTATATCATAGAATAGGAAGGTATACCAGAAGTCTCACTCAAGCAAGTATTTGTCCGCGTTTTTACAAGCGATTCGTCATCAATCACGCCATCCTGGCTAGTACAACTGGCACTTTGTACCTATCAAAACCTGATAAAAACTTCCGGCTGTACTAGCCAGGATGGCGTGAGCGAGTTAAAATTTTCGTGGGTTACACTTCTGCTATACTTTCCTATTTTGTGGTTATATGCTGTTTATTCAAATACATTCTTCAGCCGGAATATAACCATACGTGGTTATTATTGTATTAACGCTATAGTAAAAATTTAAAAAAATATCGTGCACGCGGCAAGATTCGATAAAAAAAATCGTGTGGAGTCGGTGAGGTCCAAAAAAAAGTCGAGCACTCTCAAAAATCCCCCCACCCCCCATGAAAAATCAAATGGTCCGTCCCTAAGGCCCTGCCAGAGTCACAAATGTTACAATTTGTTAACAGCTTGTTCCAAACTTGTTGACAACTTGTTCAAGCAGTGCGAAGACAACTTGTTGACGGCTTGTTGACAAACTTGTTACAAGATGTGTGATTTTTGCGTGTGCAGTTTCTGCGATTTTTCCCGACTTATCACACATGTCCTTTACCACTTCTGTGACAGGAGTTTGATAACTGCCAAGATAACTGCTTGTGCAATTTTCTGCAATCGAAAGGTTCATGTTGTCTGCACATGTACTTTCTTTGGAGACACCATTTGCCTCCTGACAAATCGGAAAATGATCAAGATAATGACTCTGATTGATTTACATAGTTGTATTGATTTAATTAAAACAATTATTACATATTTCAGTGTGCGAAAAACTTGAATAGTTTTGTCAAAGGCGCAATAGTCTAAAGATGGATGTGTTGTCTAATTGTCTTTAATTCATGATGTACGTGGGACATCATGTATGTGGGACATCTTTTCCCGTTTCAGATTTAAATCTGAATATGAATCCGATTGTCAAATGTGTCACCGGGTTGGTGCAGGAGTTGTCGACTGTCGAAGCGCTATATTACGCGTAATATGACGTATATCCAAGGGTGTTCTGATGAACATTCAGTGCTTCCATTTTCAAGGAAATTTCCTTTTCTAAGGAAATTATGTGGTCCAAAACATAGAGATTATAAATAACACTAGAGGAGGCATCGAGTTTAAAAATTGGGAACGCAGCTAATGGGGGGCAAATTCAAGTCCCGGATATAAAATCGTGCTCTCATTGGCTGATTTGAAACTCGTCACCAATGAGAACACGAATGCACATCCGGGACTTGAATTTGCCCCCCAATAGCTGCGTTCCCTTTTTTTTACTGAATTAAGATTACAATGCCTCCTCTAGTGTTATTTATAATCTCTATGGTCCAAAAGTTGTCCAAAAGGAAAATCTAAGGAAGAGAAAAAATCTAAGGATTTTTTCCTAAAAACTTAAATATTCATCCCAGTGCATTGGTGCAGAAGAAGGTTTCACTATTTTTTACATTTTTGAGTGAATTATCATTATATATCAATTATTTAAAAATCTGTTTATAAGTTTTTCTTCGTGTTTCCGAAAACTTCGAAAGTTTTTGAGCGATGGGATTTAGTAATATTTTAGCGCCAAACACTGTGAATAGTTAATTAATTATATCAGTGGAATCGTATATGTTGTAAAATCATAATCAAATATTTAATTTTAAACAGTTTAATAGCCTGTGTTTTTTACCTAGCCCACATCTGTGTTAATTGTGCTATTTTGTGTCTTTAAAATTAACTATATCCTTTGTAATGGTTTTGTTTGTGGAAACACCACGTAAATTTATTACTGCAATAAATAATTATTAATTTATTAATTAATTAATTATTAATAATTAATTAATTATTTTTTATTAATTTATTTATTAATTTGTTTATTTATTATTTATTAATTATTTATTGGTTTTTACGTGGTGTTTCCACAAACAAAACCATTATATTTTATCATAGATGTATTTTATCGCCATGCAAATATACAAAGAACTTATATCCTTTGTATTGGTACAAAATCACTGCAAACTGCTTATTGAAATTTCAAGGAAATTTCAAGGAAATTATGTATACAATCTAAGGAATTTAGAGAAATTTTGATGTCAAGAATGGGAAATTTTGATGTCAAAAATGGAAGCACTGTGAACATTGAACAATCAAAAACAAAATGGCAGACAAGAAAGCTTCACTTTTATTGCAAGGACCGATTCCAGTCAAGCCATCGACAAGTTCAATGGTAAATTATTTTTAGTTGACGATTCAGATGTTTAGTTATAATTCTCTCTTGTACTATATATAATTTTAGTCAGATTAGCAAATATTTTATTCTCCGATCCAAGTTTGCGTTTATATATATCGAAAGAAACTGAAGTTGAATTGACCCACCCCAGATAATGTCTGTCGTGGCTTATATTGCCCATAGTGGAATCAGTCTATGTTAACACCAAAATATATATTGGCATGAACAGATATAGAAAAAAATAGATTGACATGGCCCCAGGTGGCCGCTCCAGTCTGGAAAGTTAACTTTTTGCACGCCGGACATCGATTCAGGTACATGTAAATGTACGCCAATTTTGGAAATATTAACGCGCAAAAGTTCCAAATACACCTTTTTAGTATAAACCTATTTGGTTTATATTTGTTGAATTTGAACAATTACTAGTCTATGTCAATTATGTGACCAAATGTACGCCATTATGTACGCCAAAGTTTGTGTTTGTACACCGGACATGTCCGGCATACACGCCTTACATTCCAGTCTGGTGGCTGCTGGCCCCATGGCAGTAATTTGGCATAAAATAGAAACAATTTTTCTGAGTCAATTCCAACTGCGATCATCCCGGGCGAACCCCCAGGATTTGACCAGAGGTTAATCCTGCATAGGCGGGAATTTGACGAGAAAACATTCCCGCACAGTCAGGCATTTGACCCCCTTTATTTGACTGATCACTAGTGCAAAATTGGCCAGCGGTCGCGCGAAGTGCTTGGTGTAGATGAACGTTGATGAACGTGATTTGTTTTCACGTGTATAAAACACACTGCATAGCGTGAATAGTTTTTATATAAAATGCCGTTATATAAAGTTTGGAACTTGACCAGGGATGTCAAAAAGGCTATAATTGCTTGTTCTTTTGCAGAATTTGTCTCAAAAGTTATGTGTCTTTATGATATTTTATAGATAAAAAGAAAATTGAACTTACAATAGCGAGCATAAAAAGAAACGGCATTGCAAAACTATATAAATTGCAAAACTAAAAGTTTTGAGCCGATCATAAAATTAAATAAACATTTAAAGTCTAGCTGGTTCTCATCATGTAAAATTATATGGGAAACGTACAAGGCAGATATGGGCATTTGACTATGTTTTTGCCCGCAACGTTGGGAATTTGACAATGGGTTTCGCCCGCACCGTCGGAAATTTGACCATATTTTTTTGAAAAGTCAAATTCCCGGGGGTTCCCCCGGGGGGGGGGGGATGATCACAGTTGGAATTGACTCACATTATTTATGAGCTACTGTCTGATGTGGTGATTCATTCTGGAACCTGTGCTGGAAGTGTTATGTACAATGAAAGCATAGAAACCTTCTATAAACTTGTTAAAATTTGAAAATTACTACTACATTACAACAGAAAGAATATAGACAAAAATTTTCTCAATTCTGATTGGCTAAGAGCAGTGAAATTATTTTTGAAATTGCACATTGTGTAATTACTGTAGTGCAATTACAGGGTCGACCGTGGAACAGGGGGCATACCCCCACACTTTTTCGGTGGATAAAAAACTACCAGATAAAATCCAACCTGCCTGTGTAGCATAGCTCCTGTGCTATCCTGCCCCCCCCCCCCTGTTAAGAAGTGGGCAAAAAATAACACTTGTTTGGTATAGTAACATTTACTATAACAGATAGTACATTATTACTTGGTATATACTGAATGCCAATATTAAACTTTACAACAGGGATGGATCCAGCATGGTTTGGTAGGGGGGGTGCTCCGCCAAAAAAAATTTTCGGAAAGCAACAACCTCCCCCCCCCCATCGACAACTTTTTAGGGAAAAAAAATTTCCGGACAAGTACGTTGCAATTGCTTTCCAGTGACTTTACACATCCATCAACTTGCTTAACCACTGCAAAGTCTAGCTACAGTATTTGAATTGCAATTGTTGTTCACAGTTCGCTTATCATCATGTTATTACTCAAACTACTGAATCTCATTTTGTCTCTGATAATTTTTTGCTTTATCATGAAAAATAGCACCCCCCCTGCACCCCTCCTGGCCAGGGCTAGGGGGGGTGTGCACCCCCCCAGTAAATCCATCCCTGCTTTACAACAGCATAATAAATACCAGGTGTTTGTCAGAAACAATGTATTATCATACAAACCACATGAGACTTGTCATGTTCAACAGGCATTTAATCAAGTGGCAACAGACCTTTCCAGTAATTAATTACTACGAAATATGATATTTTGACGAGAAGTTTGACCCGGTCCTATACGAAAGTATACAATGTGTTTAGATAGGCTAGATAGATAGATAGATACTAGATAGGTAGATAGATAGATGATTTAATGAAAAAACATTGCAGTCCTAAGGGCTGAATTATGTTACCTATTACAGGAAATACAAAAATTATTACAAAAATTACAATTTGTTTGAAACAATGTCTTGGAATAGTTTATTGGTAAGTTCCTGCCTTCTCATCTTCAGTCTCTGGACATTAGTAATACTGTAATACTTAGTGCTTCATCATATGTAATCCCAGGGAATATGATCTTCATTGCTCTCCTTTGTATTGATTCAAGATCATCCGATAGATATTGGGTCAGACTATCATGGAACACTAGATTGCATACCGGTACTCCATAACATATGCCGAATACACGTAGTGTAAAATTGTAGCAGCCCCTTAGTGGCAATGTTTGATCTCTTTAATTGAATAAAAAAATATAGTCTCTTTCGGCTTTCTTAATTGTTTCATTAACCTGTTTGTTCCACTTAAGGTTATTAGAAACATTTAGGCCAAGGATCTTAGCATGGTCAACCACATCAACCGGGTTGTTGTTGATTAGGATGGGATCGAATTGTGTTGGGTTCAAACTAAATGCAATATGCAACTCCTTACATTTTCTTTCATTAAATTGAAATTTGTTTGCTTGTGCTTGCGCTCGTCTACTTCATGTTAAATATAGCTCATTTTTCCTTTGTTAACAAATTCTGACATAGTGGTATCATCGACATACTTCCAGTTATTAGGTGAGGCAATTTTAATATCGTTCATCATTATAATGAGTAGCCATGAGTCTAACAATGTGCCTTGGGGGACACCTGCTGTGACCGATTCCCATTCCAAGTAGCAATACTGGTTTAGTTTAACTCGTTGTTTTCTGCAAGTGATAAAATCGGTTATCCAGTCAATTAGCCGTTCTCAATAGACCTAATTTCCCCTTTTGAGTGAAATCAGTTTGATGATCTGATTATCAATTTCCCATTTGTAATACAAAATGACTGAAAAACGGCAAACTTCGCAAGGCTATATATTATCCGCATTTTACAACATCTCGCAACGAAACTTCGGAATATTACTAATTTTGTGATGCTCTTTCAAGCTGTGATGAAATTTTTGTCCAGGCATATCTAGATCAAAATTTCATTCATAAGGGGAAAGGTCTAATATATAGCTTTCAGTCGAAGTCTGTGAGATAAGCCCACACAACAGCGACTTTTTATAATTTTTTGGACGAATGATGGTAAATTTGATTTGTAAATGGTTAGTTTATTTTGAAAAATTGCTTTTCACATTTTTTTAATTGTCTGCATTGGTTAACGAGAATTGGATGCCACCCAAAAATGGCGGATATTCGTCATCGTGAGAAAGGCTAATTGTCCACAACGGTAAATCATACGTTTTCAATTTCCGAACTAGTAGGTGGTGGTCGATCAGATCGAATGCTTTTATGAAGTCAAACAAAATTACTCTCGTTGTTCCACCGTTATCATCTGTGGATCCGTTCCATTCATGAATCATACTTATAAGTGCATGAACAGTACTTGAGTTTGGGATTGTTCCATACTGGTTTCGGTCTCAGCAATTTTCGATATCGGAGTCAAGGAAAACGAGAAATTGTATGGAAACACGACGCCCGAAGGGCGGAGTGTTTTCATACAATTTCGAGTTTTCCCAACTTCCACGAGTGTTGATATAACTATATATCAATACGGAAAAAATGTTTTATTTTTTTTTTTATAATATAGCAATGTCAAAAGCCCGAAGGATAAGAAAAATTTCTGTGTTTACAAGCGGCGGAAAATTTCCCGTGTTGATATTGAGTTATATCAACACGGCGCTTAGCCAATCAGCGTTCAGAATTTACAAATGCTATATTATAATACGCACTGTTTTTTCTTTTGGTATTGGAGTAATGTTTGCACTCTTCAAGGTATGATTGGTTTAAAATATCAGAGATCGGTCGAGCCAGAATATCTGCATTTTCTTTGAGAACCCAGCCAGGGATACCATCTCATGCAGCCATTCCATTGTGACTCGCGTGACCAAGTCATACAATTTTAGGGTTAAAAAAGGATGTTTTCTGCCACTTCTGATTTTACAAAAGGCAAACTTGCTTTGCAAAAACTATGAACTCCCTGGGAAGGTGTTGAAGTGACATTTTTGAATTTTGATGATTTTATTTGAAGCCTCGGATATATAGTGACTTACTTTACTTATGGCAGCCACAAATAAAAATGTTTCACCTTATGGGTTTTAATTCAATTTCCTGGTGACTTATTTAATGTATATAGCTCTAGCTTTATAGGACATATAAATAGCCATGTTACTGTCACACTTCAGTGAAATTACAGAAAAATCATGTTTGGTTGAATAGATAATGCCGCCAACCTAATGTGACTCGCGTAACATAAAAATGTGACTCGCGTGACAAGTGACAAATAATGATAATAAATAAATAATAAAACTGGACGGAAATAGTAGCAATTCAAATATTTCTTTTTATTACTGTTTATTGACGCCATTTGCAATAACAATTTAATATAAAATCTAGGTTTGGACAACTGGAATAGTTTACTTTTTTTGTGGCTGGTATAAGATCTTCAATCTTCACTCAAAAATAGGCAATTACTCCACATGCAGGAAAATATTTTCAAGTGTTAAATCAATAGGAATTTAGGGTTTCCTATAAATTCACAAGTTATAATCATAATAATCTTGGTGAAAACATAATTTTTTGCATGTCAGGTGTTAAACGCGTGACTTGCGTGGCCATACTTGAGGGTGATTTTTCTTGGAAACGAATGCTAATATTTTTCTAATTTTTTTGCAAAAAGTTTGTCCAACTAAAAGTACCAAGTTATCAAAGATTCAAAGAATCTGCTTTAGTTGACAGAGATTGAGAAAACTTTATGAGGGTGTTTCAATGCAGGCTGGTACAAGGCCGATTTCTCATGTTGACATGTTTAACTTAAAATATGTATTTAAACAACAAATATCTTAACGTTAAAACCATTATAAACAGTATATACTTCCTGATGTCAGTTCTTATACAAATGCTAGCGTGCAAGTTCTTCGTTCTGTTGACGACTGCTTCAATTTATAACGCTTATCTTCGTGCAATTAAGAATGCAAAGCACTATATTTACATCGAGAACCAGTTTTTCGTCTCGTCTCAACCGGGTATATTAATGAACGTGAAGAATCAGATTCAAACAGCTTTGGCAGAACGAATTTATCGTGCTTACGAGGAAAATGAGGACTTCTATGACTATGTCATGATAGTAATGCCACTGAAGCCAGAGTTTGGTTCTGAAGAATGGACTTCAGGTAGTCTAAATTTGTTGACAGGGATTAGTTATTGGAATTATGCGACACTTTTACTCTGGGAAAAACTCTTTATTCCACCAGTTACAAGAGAGGAAAATGCCGGCTTGGGCTATCAAGAGTTATTTTAATGTATATGGATTGCGAACGCATGCATGCATGATTTGTTAGGCGAGAACTTGGCGACAGAAGTTATTTATGTACACAGCAAGTTGATGATCGTCGACGATCGAGTTACTATCATTGGTTCAGCTAATATCAATGACCGAAGTATGCTTGGGGGACGAGATTCAGAGATATCATTCATTGTCGAAGATGTGGAAATGATTGAAGGAATTAAGGATAAATGATAGGCCATATCAAGTTGGAAAGTTCTCACATAATCTGAGATGTTTTCTCCACAAGGAACATCGTGGACTCTTGAATACGGAAGATAAAGTGGATGAATTGAATGTCAAAGACCCTCTGGTGGAATTATTTGTCACACGAATTTTCAATTGTTAATCACACTGGATGTTTCATTAGTTTTTGCCAGGATTGTATACTGTAGTTTCTCGAAGGTCGCGGGTTCGAAACCCGGCCGCGGCAGGCAAAGTTTTCTGCCTGCGCGCTGATCTCACTCGAGAAGATTTTCTCTCAAACATTTTCTCTTGCAAGGATCTAACTTAAGACCCTTGCAAGGTGCCCCTCCTCATAATTACATTAAAATCAGTTTATTTTATAAGTTTTCTAATTATATATAATGAACTAAATGACGATAGTGCAAAGAAATAATATCTGTATATCTAGTGTCAGTACTAGTAAACTTAATGACAACCGCAATCACGGTTTATTGACCACAGTTTATTGATCAATGCCTTGTTCAAGAACATCAAATACTTCACCTCACAATCGTAACAAAGTGAGAGCATATTCAGTAGTTGGAGTCTCTTGATTTAACACACAACTGACAGAAGAGCCAACGAGTAATGCGTCTCTGGATTTTCTGTTTCAAAATATTCGTTCTTGCATGGGGGCCATATATACTTCGGTAGCTGCTTAACTGGCAATTAACCAGTGTCATTCACAGTGCTCTTCATACACTCTTGTCCGTTATAAATAGGCATGTTCCTTTTACAAGTAGTTATTTGACTTAGCATGCACTATGTTATGAATATGTGAGCCCCATGTTAACTTGGTTCGTTAAGGCTGCTTTCCAGTTAAGCGTTTTTCATTAAATCGTTCTAAATTTCAGGGATGGATTTACTGGGGTGCAGGAGGGTGTGCACCCCCTAGCCCTGGCCAGAGGGAGTGTAGGAGGGGTGCTATTTTTTATGATAACGCAAAAAAGCCAAATGAGATACAGTAATTTGAGTAATAACATGATGATAAGTGAACTGTGAACAACAATTACAATTCAAATACAGTAGTTGATGGGCGGGCGGCACATATGACCGACACAACTCGGCAGTCAACACCAGAGCACCCCCTACCAGATCATACTGGATCCATCCCTGCTAAATTTTATATATTGAGTACTATAATTACCTCAACAAATACACTTTAAATATAATTACCTCAACAAATACACTTTAAATCATATACTTTTGTATATAACTAAATGCTGTATAACTAAATGTAGCCTGCGTATAGCGGACACTATTAGAGGGGAGGGCTGTGCCTTTTTTTTATTTAATTATTTCATAAGAAACTTTTAAATGAGTTTAAACAAATGGACTATAGTTATTAAAATTACACTCCAGAGATTAAAATTTTCAAAACGCACCTAGTTTTTAAATTTGTAAAGACGTGTAACTTTTCCTTTGAAAAGAACACTGTTTTCTTGCATGCCTTCCAATTGAAATGGACATACATGTTTCGTAATGTGACCTCGAGATTTTCTACCAAAGACACTTGTAAAAATTAGTTTTGCGTTAAATAAATACCCTAAAAACTGTAGAATTACACCTATCCAATGTAACCTTCAGAGTTGTGATGTTTATTCTCTTTTTCAGTCAAAAGCATCCTCAAGTGGTGGAAATAAATCAACAGTACCTTTTAATCTAGACAACTATAACTCCTTTACTGTTAAACTCCCTAGGTACGTACGAAGCCTAGATTATGGATCGCTTATTCAGTGAATAAGCCTAATTTTAGTTACGTTGTTCAATGAATATACATGCAGACACAGAATAAAGACATACAGAAGGTCGACTCAACCAAAAAAGCGTAACCGCTGCCACGCCATGATTCGCAATGATTCGTCATCAAAATGCTGACGCCATGCATGGTCTGTGGTCCTGGGGTGAATGCCTCTCATAAGCGCACTGGCTAGGACCACAGCGTCAGCATTTTGACGACGAATTACGGTTACGCCAAAATCATAGGAAAACAAAAGTTTGTCTCTATTCTGTGATATAGACTTATGACTGGTTGTACTGGAAGCTTTTTAATCGAATTAAAAATTAGTGCCCAAGGGCAACATTTGTCTCATTTGTCTGCCCCCTCTACGACCAACTAGTGGAAACTAAGTGCTCCTAAATATGTCACAAGAATGTGTGTGCATAGAGGAGCATAGGCATGTTTTCTAGGCACCGTAGACACATTTATATTTTAAAAATACATTAATTCTTCTTCACCGTAATTTGACAACTTTCTGAGTTTAGAGGAAATTGACGGATTTTAACAGGTAATTTAGGCCTAGTACTGTACAAGATTAGTATATTTGTATTGTAGAGATGTGAAGAAACGACATTCAATCATGAAGTTCAATACAAACATTGATGTATCTGCTATTAGCAAGGTAAAATCTGTTCCATTTTCTTTAAACTTTGAGTAATTGTCTTTTGTGTAGAAATATGTGTTCCGAACTATAGATTCTGGATGTTGTTTAAAACAATACGTAATCCAGAAGCAAACCAAAACTCGATAGTACCAAGCGAATAATTTTTCCACACAAGGAAAAGATTAGCCTGCTCGCAGCCTGAAATTTAGAAGGGAAAAATTTCTGATATTTTCCCCTTCTAAATTTCAGGCTGCGAGCAGGCTAGGAAAAGATGAACAACACTAAAACTCGCCTGACACCAGAAAACCGAGTACGTGCATGTGCACCGTCATCTAAAGTTCTTATATTTTGATAACTTGGTTCTCGCCAGCATACATGAAAGATATCAGCAGAGAATTTCAAGGGCCCTAAGGGCTTTCATTCAAAACGTCGGAATTCTTCACTTGCATGTATCACGCTGGCAAGAATCAAGCCCTAAGCCATTCCGTATTGCTTCAATGCGAACTACGCTAAAGCATATATATATATATATATGATATGGCGAGAAATACACATACTGTCGTTTCTTTCAGAGAAAATTGTTTTAAACAGTAGAACACGTCATAATAATTAAGTTGTTCGTTCGGTTGTTTTGAAACACCAGTGTAGAAAAACAGATTTTTTCAGTTAATGCCTCATCCAAATTGGAAACATACTGTTCATTATTTTAAGCCGCTGCATGGTTTGTGTCTAAACTACTCTACATGAGAAGATTAAAGCATTTCAACATTTCGAGCCAAGGTTGCTAATTCCATAATTCGTCAGGAAATCCACGCTACAAACCTCGTGGGACAGTGGCGTAACTCCTTTTGGCTCCATCTTTGGGTGGTCAAATAGAGGGGCCCTGAGCATGGAAGGAATCAAGTCTGTGGTAAAATTGTAGTATTTGAACCATTGTTACATCTTCTAGGTATACTCAGTTCACTTGTCGCTGCTTTGAATGGCCAGGACTAAGAGGTTTATTCACTTCAAACCAGGGGCCCTTTAGCACAAAGTTTCCCTACTGACAATAGATAAACCACATCAGCTTACAGTCGAATACCACCTACATTGCACTCCCAAGGTTTAGATTTCATTAATGCAACTACTAGCTGAGAATCCACTCACGGTACTCACTGTGTGACTAGTGACTCACTACACAATGAATTATTGAGCTGCTGCTTTTCACTATATTTTCAGGCTCACATGCAACGCCAGAGAAATACAGCAGAATCAAAAGAAGAAGAAATGCCTAAATTTGGGGCAGGAAGTGAATACGGTCGTGAACAGAGGATGGAAGCAAGAAGAAAGAAACGAGGTTATCTTAAGAAACGAGTGAAAGATGAAGATTTACCTTGGATTTTAAAAACTGGTGGAAGAGGAGGAAAGACGTGAGGATTGTTAATAAATATAAATATTACACTAATTTAATTTCCCTGTATTGCTCTGAAATGAAGGAGAGCGGTGAAAACCCAAGGTATTTGGTGGAGACAAAGAAGCTCTTTTCTGAAACTGCAAGCACTAATCCCACGTTCGACTGGCATAAAATGTTAATGGGAAAAGTGCATATTGCAAGACTGGAGCCTTAATAACTGAGGTGAAACACACGTATTGTGCCACCAGCGTCCCATAACGTTTTGATTCATTGTCTACCTGACAGTCAAGATACTGCGGTGCATATAGTAAACGAACTAAGTATACCCTTAGCCAATCATACATTTGACAGGACGAGTGATGTTTGAAAGTGTTACCAGTACTTTAATTGCATGGTTGTAGGAGCATTAATGTACATTCTAGAATTTAGAATGATACTCTTTGCATTCATTATTTCCAAATATTTATGACGAAATAGCAATAAAAATGAAGTTTCGCATTTGGAAGAGAGATTCAAATAATAAATTTTAAAACCTTTTTACAGATTTTGTTTATCGTTATTGCACTTCATTTCAAACAAAATCGTTAGGCATTCGCCATCTTGAATATGACGTCGCAACCAGAGTAACATTATCTTGTATCTTGAGATATTCTCGGGTTATTTTAATCTCTTTACAACTAATCTACAAAGTATAAGCTAACTGTATACAGCTATTTCAATTAAGGTTGTCCCCCGAGCAAAGCGGAAAAGTCGAATACGAGCGCGAAAGGCTGCTGGGAATCGCTATGCTCATGCTGTAGATCTATCGTTGTTTCTCTGTCATAAATCAACGAGTAATGTTCAATATGAACGTAATAAACCACAAAGCAATTGATCAGATTGCAGGCTGCCCCATGAAAATGACATTTCTAATATAATTTTGCATTTAAAGGTACAAAGGTGTTAAAGAAGCAACTATGGTTCAAAACGCAGCATATTACGTATTTACTGAAGCTGACGACGGATCATTTGAAGCATTTCCAGTTGACGCGCAGTATAGATTCACTCCAGTTATAAAGTATAGAACATTAACTGCTGATGAAGCAGAGGAAGAATTCTCATTAAGAAATAAAACAATCAATTATTTCTCATTAATGGTGAAGAAAAGACTCACTGATACAGAGGGAAAAACTGGTGATGAAGAAGTTGCAATTCCCAAGGTGAAATCTAAAGTTGATAAGTTGGTAAGATGTTTTTTTTTATTCATGTGTTAAAGTGCTTACCCTATATAGCCAGTGGGGAGTGTGATACTTCGCGTACTTGCGTACAGGAGGTACGCCAATATTAGGATATGGTACATATTAGGATATGTTTGTTTTCTGCCAAGTACAGTAAGTACTTGTAAAGTCTAAAGTAGTACTCGCGGTTCAATATAACCAGCAAATATTTCAAACACAAGATAATCTATTCAAAACCCTTTCAAAAACTCATTTTAAAATAATTCATAAGGAAAACACAGAAATATCATAAGCGTGTCGTATCTTTATATGTAATAGAGATTTCCCCTGATTTACATAAACTTTAACTTTGATTTTCTCGACTTACACAGCGTACCTTTTGAAAATTACTTCGCCAATGAAATTACTAGATTGATCGTTTTTCAAGCAATTTAAAACATTCGCAGTGCGTGTTTTATCAGACCTAAAGATACTCGGCTTCTCCTCGTATCTTTATATCTGATAAAACACTGCTGCTCATGTTTTAAATGGTACATAATAAAGTGTCAGGATTTTGAGCATCTCACTGGATACAACTAATTGTTGAAGGGATTTGTAGGACATTGACATCACCTTGGTATTTATACATGAACTTGTGGTTAGAGCTCGACAACTGTCTCTCGGTTAGAGCACTGCACCGGAATCGCAGGGCCGCAGGTTCGATTCCTACCAGAGGGCCTATAGTACATTTTTCGCAACTGTTCCTGGTCTAATAGATGAATAACAATTCCACTCGAAATTTCTATCTACAAATCTCTTCACCAATAATAAAGTAACTGTATCTGTAAATCCGGTAACTCTGGCATATCGTGGCAGGAAACATAGTTAGATGATGAGATGACACTAAGGAATGTTGGAGTCAATTATATGCATGTGTTTGTTTTTCAAAATGTGCTCCTTGTTCTTGTCCCTTCGTCGGGCGGTTAGTAGCGTAGATCGGGAAAATTATATGTGCTCTTATACTATTATACTAGACTTGCATCCAAATCGTCCTACTCTATTCCCAAAACAAGAACAAATTATGGAATTTTCAATCTAAGATATCAAGGAGCCAAAGTATGGAACTCTCTTGATAAACAAAAAAAGCTCTATCTCTTTCCTCGATAATATTGATAAATAATATTGATAAATTATGGCTAATTTGATCATTTTCGTAGATTGTTGATTTTCTATGTAATGATTAACAAAATCTCCTAAATGATGTGCAGCGGTTGTTTTCTTTGTTTTCTTTGTTTTCTTTGTTTTCTTTGTCTGTGTGTTCTCTCTTTTCGTGTTTCGACCTAGTGTGTTTATACCCATCATACAAATCTATCATACAAAAAAAAATTGTGCATCTTTCACTATAGTGATCTGGCTGCCCGACATCTAGCCCTTTACGGTTATTACGGGTAGCCAGTACCTATTTATGATATATTATACTAAGTGAATTGTAATAGTGTAATAGCTTTTTTCTTTGGGGTACAAATAAATTGTTGTTGTTATCTTACAGTAGGCCCGGATATATCATATAGCGAAGCGCTGGCAATTGTTGGTTTACCAACCTTGAAGGAACACCGACTCATCACATGCGGAAAGTTGTTTAGAACTATAATTAATTAACCAAACCATAAACTTCACCATTTGTTACCTGCATTTAACACAGGACGTGGCCAGTCTTTAAGACATGGAAGAGTTTTTAATATTCCTAGGTGTAAGACTAATAGGTTTTCAAAGTCTTTTATCATTGCTTCTGCTAGTATAGTTTTAAAGTGTAAATATTATCTAGCGATATACACATGTAATAATATTTATTTGTAAATTTCTACGCAATGTAATTCAGCTTTTGGCCGCAATGGTGGTTCTTAATAATAAACTATTAAATTTTAAAAAAATTATGCAAGTTTCCCGATCCGCGCTGCTAACTTCCTGACAAAGTACCTTTGCTCAAAATGTCGAAGTTCTGCATATATTTATTCAGGTAGTTGTATCTCTCTGCCACCATCTTGGGCCCGCGCGCCTAAAATTTCGCCCAGAGCTCTGAAGCTGCTATTAATTACTAAAGAGCCTGGGTACGAGGCCGCTCCCACCACTGCTTTTCGTAAGGGTACTACTTGGTTTGGATGACTACCCTTAAAAAGTCGCCTACATAGATTTGTTCTCTCCTGTGCTTCCTGGGTTTTTCTGCCTCTCCAAAAACTAACCCTTAGCTGTCAACCACTGACTTGGGTAAATTGGTCATCCACATCCTGTGTAACCGACTTTAAACGGAAAGAATTTTTTTGGCATTATCATTTAACATTAATAAAAATGAATTTTGATGTTTCAGCAAATCTACAATGATGATGACCTTGAAGATATGTCTAATGACGAAGGAGATGATGAACAGGAACACTTAGACGAAGGTATGTGTTATTAGAGTGTGGAATATGTATTGTGATTCCTAATAATGCTGGGCTACAACAACCATGTACACAATAGCGGTGATAAGATATTATAATTGAGACTCTTAACTTGCAATAGATGACTTTCGAGCAATCCAACGAGACTTTAAAACAAAAGCAGATGGAGGGCAAGTAATGAGATTCTAATGAGATTCTTTGGTATAAATGCCGTATATGTGCAATAAACCTCTAGCATGATGAAAGCCACCTATTCTATACTGCGTCAATGTATACTAGTAGTTGCTTTCCAAATTGCCGAACTCGACCTAATAGACCTTTTTTTAAATGACGTCAAACGCGGAAAACCAACTTGTGCGATGTCCCACAGGACAATGCAAGTCGTTGCCGAGCCAATAAATTTCATAAAAACATCATTTACATTGCGAATTGTTGCTAAAAATTGTCCCTTGGGACATCTAGAACTCACACAAATTTTTTCGCTGACCAATCACATTGCCAAGATTTGTTTTTCGCTTCGCGCGAATAAATTCGCCTAGTGGAAAATGGACTTAAAGCCTCTATTCCATTCATAGCAAGAGTCAACTCGTTGGTTTGCGAGTGCTTTCATCCAATCACAATGCTAAACAGTTTATTTTAATTAGATGCAAGCACTCGCAGAGAGCTTGCGAGTTGGTTTTTAGGATGAGTGGAAAAGAGCCTTAACAAACTAACAAACACACGAAGCAAATATAAAGCGATGGCAAACTTCGTTTGGGCACCGCAATATTCACATTTAGACCAAATATTTGTCTAGCGAATGAAATATGTGAAAAAGTTGTGTCTAAGAATGCAGAATATCAAGCCCCAGAGGCTCGAAAATACAAAACATTTACACTTTTCCAATTCACTGCCCCCTAGTTAGGTCCTCTTTGTGGATTCATAATACCGCTACCATTACCGTTAACCAATCAGATGCAATTAATCTACCCGATTAACCAATCAAATGCTTATTACACCTGTGAAAACCTGCGGTAGTGGAAGTAAAATCTGAACCTCTATAATATAATAGACATAAGACCAATGTTCCACTGTGTTCATTATCTGCATTTAAAATTCAGAAAAGTTTCAAAAAGCAAAGAAGAAATTGGGCAAGACAAAAAAATCAGAAAAGGAAGATGGTGGAAGTGATTTTGAGGAGATGGAAGATGGTTATGAAGATTCGAAAGAACTTGACTATTCAGAAACCTCTTCCTCAGGTAGGTTCCATGAGTGACGTAATCAGCTAACTTATGTCCCTTGCCATCCAATATAAACTTTAATTACATGGCTACTTTTGCGCCACGTGACGTTTCTATGCTCGACCTAAAGAGTTTAGATTGGCATAGAGTGCTCTTAAAAGAAGAAGTTATATATTAAGACTTATAGGAGTCCTTTAAGTTTTTAATGTAGACTAATAGTTTTCAATAGGCAGTTCTCACAGTAAAGACTTGTTCACACGACCAAATTTTGCGGATTCAATTGTGTCGGATCCGATTATTACTAACCCACGATCAAGCCCTGGCGTTAATCAGGTCCTAGCGGTTATAGTCGGCTTCTTTTCATCTTGTCAGGTGGAAATAGAGCAGGTTCTATTTCGACCCGATTTTTCAGGTCGAAATAGAACCTTTTTCTGGTCGAAATAGAACGAATCCGACTATCGGAAGGTCAGTTTAATGGTGTTCACACGTTTCGATTTCTCTTTGGAACAATAGGATCGTGCGAACGAGTCATAATTAAGAAACATTCTGTCAATTATTTGCATTTAGTGTAATAGTGTTGCATTTGGAAGCAACTTAATAAACTTGAGCGTTGAATTTGCTTTCTGCAATGAATGTCATCAGTTCAATGTCAATATTCAATTATCTATTTGTTATTCTTCTAAACTTGTTGGGAAAATATCTTTTTCGACTACCCAAAAAAGTAAATTGGTTGTACTTAAGGGGTGAGTTTTAGCACTTCAATTAGAGTTTCATCGTGAAATTGAAACTTTGAGAAAGACCAGAATACCTTTGACTCATCTCGTATTTCTCGGAACTCGAGTTTGTTTTTCGGAGTTTGTTTCATGTGTAGGGGTGAGAGTATATGTCGTTGCACACTTTCAGATGAAGAGCTTGAAAAGAAAAAAGGTGATACCAAACCTCAAGCTGAAGATGACCTGAATGCACAACTGAACCCAGACAGTGAAGATGACAGTGAACTTGAAGAAGATAGTTTAAGTAAAGGAGGATTATTACTAAAAGATATGTTGAAACAAAATGATGATAGTTCAGATGACGAAGACGATGAAGATCAAACTACGTCTGCGGTACTATTACAAGGTACGTAAGATATATACTCTGCCTTATTCGTACTTAATTTCGCGCGTACTTAATTTCGTAATTTTTTCGAAGCAATTATTTTACGAGACTTTATTTTCGCGATTTTGATAGGCGAAAATAGAAAAAGGTCATTAAATTTCGCAAAAGCTTTCTGAACAACATTTTATTTTCTATAAAATTCTGAACTACAACTTTTGAAACTAATATTAGGTCGACTTAAGGTATACAGGGTGTATAAAAAAAAAGGAGACCTTTAGAAATCAACCATATTGTTAAAATTTGAATGCCTTTTCAATTGCATATATGCTGAACCGTAGTGCGTGAAATATTGATGGGGTGCATATATTAGAAAAAGGAGACCTTTAGAATTTGAAATAACGTTTAAACAAAAGATTGTCTGCTCCTGGGAACAATTAGCCATGGATACGTAGATCGCATGTTACGCACTCGTGGGCTTAGCAAAGTGCTCCAGGATTCAAATCATAACAATGGTTGATTTCTAATTATTCTAAAGGTCTCCTTTTTCTAATATATGCGCTCCATCAATATTTCACGCACCACGTTTTAGCATATGTACAGTACAGGGTGTCCCGAAAAAAAGTGACACTATAGAAATTATCCTATTGTTATGATTTGAATGCCCTAGCACTAAGTTGATACCACAGGTGCATGAACTTCTGCTTCTGGAATTTGAAATAAAAAAGCAAACCGTTTATTAGTGTAATCGTTTTGCTTGACTCGGGCGTTAAAATATTTGGACAAATCGAAAACGTTTTAAAATGCTTAAATGTATAAATACAAGTTCATTAAATTCCCAGGCGTGTAAGCACGCGCGTTTAAGAACGGCTTAAGAACAATGAGATAATTTCTATAGTGTCACTTTTTTGGGGGACACCCTGTACAATTGAAAGGGCATTCAAATTTTAACAATATGCTTGATTTCTAAAGGTCTCCTTTTTTTATACACCCTGTAAACTATCTGCATGGTAGTACCGAAGCGTAGCGGATTTCTTTGTTTCCGTACTGACTAGAGTGGAACTAATGACTTCGAGACAAAAGAAAATACTACGGTACATTACGATACGATTGAAGTGGAAAACAACTTTTAGACTAAAGGCTGTTTTTCACTTCAATCGTAACGTAGCGTAACGTTGCGTAGTATTTTTTTGTGTCGAAGTCATCAGTTCCACTCTAGTGCTCAGGAAACAAAGAAATAGGCTACGCTTCCGTACGATGCGCTTGAAGTGGAATAGTGCCCTCTCCCAAATAGGACGCATGTCAAAATTAACTACATGTTATAAAACATTGCTTTGCAGGTCAAAAAAAGAAAGGCAAGAAAGCAGGTAGTGGTTCAAGTACGTCATCGAGTAGCAGATCTGATACTCCAACTAAAGGCGTTGAAACCGCTGATAAAACTATTGCAGACGCTGCTAAGAAATTGAAAGATATAAGTTCACCAGGTAAAGTATGCTGTATACTTAGTTTTATAACATATAACATTTATGCTGCGGTGACCATTAGAGAATTAGAGTTGACCATTAGAGTATTGTAAACGAAGGACAGCATAATTATACAGTACCTGAACTGGAGGAAATTAGAAGATCGGAGAAATATGCATGTTTTCAAGGTGGTCAACAAATGTATAAGACTATGTTGAAAACGGCGCAGAAAAGTCACAATTAGCCGTCGCATTCACACTATGCTGGAGCGAAATTGTTTGAAAACATTACTTTTGCCGTAACAATTTGAGATGAAAACGTAGCGCATGACGGCTTAAAGCACGGTTAATAGACGTAGATGGTTAGGCTATCCGGCAAACTTCAAAGAGAGCGGCAAATTATGTGGAGAACCACTTATATTTGTGTCACGTGACGAGCAAAAGGGGTGCTTTGTGATGAGTGATTAGGGAAACCACGGGTTTTAATAAATGACACGTAACTACTGTGTTAAAATTCACTGTATTTTGTGCACATTGTGCAAATAAACCTATTCGGCTACGCGTATTTATGCTCGTTGCCACACAATTTGCTACAAATATCATAACAGAGGTATTTAAGCATGTGAGTTGTCCAACAATGTGAATTATAAATGTTTTCAGTTACGTTACGGGACAGCGGATGTTGGTCATCTTCAGAGATGTTTACAGTCCTCTGGAGCAAATTCATCTATATTCTCTCAAGCGTATTTATTTTGCCATCAATTACAAGACTCGTACATACAGTGGAAAGAAGCATAATAACTCTGACAAGTGACGGTTGACCCCCATGTGCTGCACGATGGCGCTTAGACCATCGAGTGGCAGCGGGTGTTAAAATGCGTCGGTTGATTAGGTCTCTGCTACCTTTGTCTGAATAATTTCACGTTCTCTTTGTAGTTTCCAGCAAGAAACGTCCAAAGAATTCTCCCGGCGATGAAACTCCAAGTAAAAAAGCGCGTAAAGAAACTGACAGTCCAATTCATCGCTCAGCCAGTGGCAGTTCAATCGCATCACGTGCTCTGAGTGAACCTGAGAGACCCGGGTCCCGGGGATCCCCTGAGGTCGGAATTACCGAGGACGCAGTTCGACGCTATCTCTCGCATAAACCAATGACAACGAAAGATTTACTAAAGAAATTTAAAACGAAGAAAACAGGTTTGACAAGTGAGCAAACTGTGCAACAAATCGCGACTATATTAAAGAAAATAGTACCCGAACAGAAAATGATCAAGGGAAAATTGTATTTATCTTTAAAACGAAGTTAGATATTTAACTTTGTCTTAGGATTTAAGGCGTGAATGAAACGTTCATGCCGCTGATCCTGGCTAACCTGGCTCATATATAAACAGTCCCCTTGTATTATTAATATTATGCATGCAGGTTAAACAAAATGTTGTGTTTCTGACTTTCTGGTTTGTGTAAGATGAAGTTTTACATCTAGTATAATGAAGTCAAATATTTAATCAAATATGAATTCTATAGTACAGTATATGTATTTTCCCTGTCCAATTGTTATATGACAAAGTACGTACCCAAAAACTAAACAAAGCTGCCATACAGTTTGACACTGAAAAGACAAGCTAGGTTGAGCCTTCAGACGAAAGACGCGAGCAAATGAAAATCCGGCTTTCGACTAAGAAACTAAACTTCGTATTTAGTTTGAAAACCTATATTCTGAGATTATTCTCACAGAGAAAAAATCGGATCGAGGGGAAAATATCCAGTGTCAAAACTCCATGCGCGGACAAATTGCAAAGTTCAATCAGTCCCCAGTACATGCTGTTGCCCATGAGATGGCTGTTGTGGAGGCAATAGATATCCACTTTGCATGTACAAAGCCCGCTCACCTATTCTGGTAACTCACAGAAACATTGTCCATTGAAACATTTGAAATGTTTTAAGGTTTAGTTGTTAAAGTATTTTATTGGTCTATATTACAAATTTTTCACGTATATAATTCTATCTTAATTACAAAAATAATAGGAATTTTTACTTTACAGCTTTACATTAGCTATGTGAATTAGTCAAAACTCAGACAAATTCATTCTCCATTGATATTAATTGTGAAATGTCCTGGGGCCGGTGGTTTAACGCTAACCTCAAAGGTAGTTTAGCGCTAACCCTGCATGGTTAAAATTTAACCCGCCGTTTTAGTTTGTGTATTTCTGCACGTCTGTTTATTTCAAAACTTAGAGAAGTAAGGCGTAAAAAAAATACCTGTGGTTCCAGTTTCATATCGCGAAAAAAATTAGAGTCGGTATAGGTCGGAAATTTTTTTTTTAATATTTTTTCATGGTTTTTTCAATAATTAGTGTGACAACAGACGCCATTTTGGCAGCAGCCTGCAACCACCCGGAGAAAATAGGGTCGCACGGTCAATCGCGTTGAAAAAATAATAGGGTCGGCAGAAAAAAATAGGGTCGGTCGGGAACCGGAACCACAGGTATTTTTTTTACACCTAAACTTCCATCGATCCAGACAAGATATCTGAAGAAATATTTCCAAATTTATAGACAAGCTGTCAGGAAGTTTGCTTTGAATTTTAAGTTAACCTAGGATAAAGGTAATCGGCTTTCGAACAACCGTTCCTCTGATGAGTAAAGTAAGAAAATTCAAGTTTCAACTAGAAATATAAGATCACGACGTTTTTACTGTCATCTAAACACGGGATGTTTGTATACGCATATCAAATATTTTTTCTTGTGATGAATGTTGTTAAATGTATTAATATAATTTATCAAGATTAATTCTTTCGCAACTGTAGCCACCATGATAATTATCAGATTCGTTGCTGCATTTGTAGCCTGTTGGACATGGACTGTCTTTGCAAAAATCACGTTCTGGAATTACAAGGAAATGAGTAACTGTAAGTATCGCATATTACTTATTGGCCTACTTAACCTGCGAACGGGCATATTCTGGATACGAGATTACTCCGGGGCTGAAAGGAGAAATGTTTTAAAATCAGGGGTCCTCGGATGATTTTTTATTATTGCGAGTCTCCTGACACAGGCAGATAAGTGAGCAAGATTGCCCGCAAAAGGGGTTGTCATTGCAAACCTTGATTGTTGGGTACGTCCAAACCTCATCTACCCTTATACACTTGCATTAGCAAGAGAAATATCCTGGGTTAGTTGGATCGCAAGTGTAAGCAGAGTTAATTGTGAACAAAACTACCATATTTTTAAGTCAGTGCGTATATTTACCATTGAAATAATACAGGGTGTATAAAAAAAAAACTGCACAGATTTAAAATTTGCTCTTAAATTTGCAAAACAGCTATTAGTATCCAGTGTTTTATGTATATAGCTTATTTGGTAGAAAAATGGAAAAAATTTCTCGAACTCAAATTTTGTAAACCAGGGGTGTGTGTCTTTTCCAACAAAATAAAAATGGCTTGCGCACGAAATTTGAAAGCTTTAATCATATTTTAAGTTAACAGATGGAAAGTTTGTTGGGTGTTTAATTACTGTACAAAATTTCAGATAATTTGTTTCAGTTTACGCCCTTTAACCATTCACGCAAACTTACATTTTTTCTTAAAAAATCACCATTTGCATGCTAATCAATGCCTTTGCCTAATTTGCATATGTCAGCAATATGTAAATTAGGTAAAGGCATTAATTAAGCATGCGAAAGGCTAATTTTTTAGAGAAAAATGAATAGTTTAAGGGCTTAAACTAAAGCAAATTGTCTGACATTTTGTATAGTAATTAAAAACCCAACAAATGTTCCATCTATCAACTCAAAATATGATTAAAGCTTTTAAATTTCGTGCGCAAGCCATTTTTAGTTTGTTGGAAAAACACCCTGGTTTACAAAATTTGAGTTCGAGAATTTTTTTTCCATTTTTCTACATTATAAGTACCCAAAGAAGCTATATACATCAAAAACTGGATACTAATACTGTAGCTGTTTTGCGAATTTAAAAGCAATTTCAAATCTGTGCAGGGTTTTTTTATACACCCTGTATATTGAAACTTGAGAGTTATTGTTACCTGTTAAGTTATTGTTAAGTTATTGTTATTGTTTTGTTGTTGTTTGAGTTATTGTTATTGTTATTGTTAGTTATTGTTACTCGGGGGATAAGTAGTTTGTGAAGGTACGTTTACACGCTGCGATTTGTCATGTACGAAGAAACAATTTAAACAACAACTTACTTTTACACGTTTGAAAGAAATCACATGAACAATAAAATAAGGTTCCTCTCAGTTCAGATCTGCACCACATGCCTGTAGGATCGATACATGTTGAAGGGTTGCATGGATTTTCTGGATCTGGATAAAATTAAGAGAAGGGCGTTATTATATGTGCACAAGTGCCCAACAACTGCTCCGGCTTAGACTAAAGAATCCAACCCAACATTGTTCAGATATTCCTTTGAACAGTGTTTCAATTTGGATAAGCTTATCAAAATGACGTTAAAATATTTCAACATGTTTGCAAGGTAAAAGACAAACTATCCAATAAATTACAGATAGACGGTCATTTGAACTACATTCGCAAGTTCGCCTAAACGCCATTAGGTTCGCATTGACGGATGATCACAAACGATCGGGTTGCCGAACCATAATAAAAATAAAACAATTATTGACATATATCGTTTTTCACAAGATATGAAGAACTGTCACGGTCACTGTTTGTGTTATTCTCCTCAGCTTTCAGCTTCGGCAGGTAACACAAATTTCTTCATATCGTGCTCAGATTTGCTTATTCAATAATTGTTAATTAGTGGATTAGGTCTAGGTTTGGGATTAAGTTTAGGTGAGTAGTCTCAACTCAATGTACTTACATTGACATCTGTCGCCAGTCCAGTATGCTCCACAGTAACAATGATAATTTTTTCCTCCATCAATAGGAACACAATGACCACCATGCTCACATGGGTTCGAATAGCATGGGGCAAGATCTAAAATAATGGCGTACTTATTGTTAAACATGAGGTTAGGTAGTGATTGTGTATGTACCAGATTGATATGGGGAAATGTTCATCACATAGGATTGTGTGAAATGGAGCGGCAACTATAGTTATGACGTACAAAGAAATGCATGATGGGAGATTGAGTAGTGAGAGAATGTAAGGGTACTCCGAGAATTAACACTGAGCCAATAGGCCGAGTGCTTACTGGACCTCGAAGGAGAACAGTTCAGATACTGTTCTGATAGAGTTATCCAGTTCTGATAGAGTTATCCAGCGTCAAACTGAAAAATACAACGATGTTACCTGTCCAAGCCTCCAAGTTGATAGAATGTTGCAGAATATTATCACAAGACACTCGAGCCTCCTGACATGTTGGAGCAATGAATGCATCTTTTTGAATGGAAACAATATCTTTAAGGTTATGACACATAATTTGAGATAACGTCACTTTCTTTATTTCTCTTAATTGTTCTTTAGTAAACACATCTTTCTCTTCATAGTAAAAGCGATCGCCATCTCGAAGATTTCTGAATTGTTTACTGAGGATACAGTGGAATGTCGGTCCAACTTCGGAGTCAGGTAGCGGGTCCTCAGCTAATCCTGCAATCCACAGGTCAACTTTATCTGGAGTTTTATAGAGTTTCTTCAGAACGTCTCTGTACTTCGCATTCTTTATTTCTAAGGCAACATCATCAAATGTTTCAGCAGATTTCATTCCACAAAGTTTCCGATATGTGTTATACCCAGATAGTCCATGGTCTCGCCCACGCTGAATGTTAAGAGAAGCTAGATTTAGTCCAACTATATTCTCTCTTTCAAACAAATGTTTTGTGAGGCCTTCAGCTAGGAATGGATCAACGTTTTGAGAAGTGTTTGCAAGCAGACCTAACAAGATTGGTTCAATTCCATATTTTTGTATAAAAACGTTATTAAAGAACATTTCTTTCAATGGTATTGGTGCTCGTACAGGATTATATCCCTTGTCAAGAACATCAAAATACGGTCTGATCAAACTATGACCAAATCTGTACGCTGCAGTTGAAAACTCGTTAAGAATTCCAGGATTCAGATCGTATTGATAACCTTGGAACGGTAACACGCCATCATTTCCAAGAATTTTTGGCAAATAGTCTTCATAACTTATCTTCTGTAAAATTCCACCAACAATTTTCCGAGTTTCCTGGTATAATTTTTCATCGTCCCAATGGTGATTTATATGCCTTAGAATTCCAGCAATTCTGTTATGTTCTCGATTGAAGAGTGTATGCATGCTCGCCAAACTCATTTGTTCATTGACACGTGTGTCCCCAGAGATAAAGCAGCCACCGCTATCGGTACACAATGCACTAGCATCGCTTTCTACATCTAGTATTAGTAAGTTGTTATTTGTCATGCGAAGTAGTCCATCTTTACCTAGAAATATAACACAATACAACAGTTAGCTCTTACCCACACTACTCTGGTCGATGTCATTGGTTTATATATTTATTTTGTATTATGTATAACAGGGAACACACCAATTTTGCATTGTGGACTATAAAAGGCGCGTCTTTGTAGGAATAAGAGCAACTTTTTTCTCATGCGGTGCACCACAATCACCGTTGATGTAATTTAAGAGCAGTGGGTCAGTCGCACGATAGGCAGTCACCTTGTAACTAAACCTGGTTTTCAATTGCCACGAGAGAATAAATCGTGCTTTCGCTAATTGTGATTTACAAAAATAATGTATAAAGTATGAAGAATCATAGGCGTATCCCAAAAAAAAAATTTTACTACCGGGCAAAAATCAATGGGATATTCAGGCAAAACATTAAAATTTCGGGAAAATTACGATATGTCCTGAAAATTTTTTTGTATATTTGTGAAAATTACGTGAAGTTAGGGAAAATTTTCGTCATGTTTTATGTTTGCAGACAAGTTTTCGGTATGTCCGGAAAAATTTTTTGAGTGACCTCCCCCCCTCGCCAAAAATTTTGGGGAGAAATATTAATGTTTAGTTTGCCTGTTCGGGCAAACTATACTGTGCCCATGGGTAGAATTTTCTTTGAATTTAATTTTCTTCAGCCCGAGCTCATGTTAAGAGCTTTATGCCGGCTTGTAGTTATGTGGAAATTTATGTCGTTTACTTCATTAATTCATTTCTTTGTTTTGCTTAATTTGTTATTTCTTATTGTCTTACGGTTGCTTGTTACGTCAGTACAACGAGGCTTTAGTTAGACACACAAAACATCACACTACCTAGCCTCCGCTGTAAACTTTATGAACTGGTGTATTAATTCCTAAAACCACGCCTACGCTATTATCTAGACTGACTGAAAACGCTAAGTGAAAGAGACTTTAAATAAACCTTCAAGTCTACCAACACCCTGAATACAATTAACATACCAGTTCGTAATTTCTTAGCCAGAGCCTCAGAAGATCCATATATTTGTGATCCATCAATAAATGCAGTTAGAACATTGATCTGTTCTCTTGGTTGTAAATCTGCGGCATCTGATTGACACACTGCAGCAGATCTCGTCATCTTAATGCATCGCGTCGAGTTCTTGGCATGAACGATTGGAAAACATGGTGGAACACTTATTCGCCTTGAACTATCACACCTGAAAATAGAAATGATTAAAGAAGTCGAAATATTATGCTCCGTTCACACAGAACCGCGAACTCTAAAAAAGCTGGCTAAGAACCAAATGAATTCCAAACCGTACTGAAACTTGGCTTAACTTACTTGATTTCGGCCTTTCGAGTTTATATGGAGCGCATGAGACCGGACGAATTCGAACACAGCTAACGGACTGGACGAACTCCAGGGTAAATAAATGGAATTGGGTGAAATTAGACTATTGCTTGTGGTTTCGAATTTGTCCGCTCCTGTGTTAAAGCAGTGTATGTCGTGCTGGGCGGTCTACTGTATGCAACCACGGTGTCGGTGTGTATTTGTATAGCGTCAGGGAATTAATTTTGAAGCCCGAATATTTATAGTATTTAAAATGAGGAGAGATTTTTAAATCTGTCACATTCCCTACGAATAAATCGTTACGTGTTTAAATTAGTTACACTATCAAGCCAATGTCTTCTTCTACGTAACTGGGAAGATATAGCTTCCCACGCCTCTTCTGATGAGTTTTGGTATAATTTCAGTATTGAAAAATGGCCTTTGAGCATTCTGATTGGCTCCCTCAGCAGGGAGCAACTCTGAGGCAATAGTTACTGCTCAGACTGCTCTGAGCAGTAGCTATTGCTTTTCCCCAAAAAAATAATGGCTGGAAATCAGACGGAAGTAAATTATTTATGCAAATTATATTAATAAAATATACTGTATTAGTTGTATTTATAAATAAAATTATTTCAATACTGAAATTATACTAAAACAATTAGTCGCCTCGGGCTCGGCGATTACAAGCCTATATTTATATATATGTAGGCTTGTATAAATCACCTCGCCTTCGGTGACTAAAGCCCCGTTTACACGACAGTCATTTTGGGCACGGCACGCTTAAATTTTGGCACGCGGACCCATTTTTTTGGGCACGGCACTCTTAATTTTTGTCGTGTAAACGCATAAACCATAATCATGCAGTGAGCCTGCAGCGAATCATTGTTGTAGTATAAATTAATTTTCAACGAAATAAAACAGAATATCTGATTATCAGTTTAAGTATTCTGAAGTTAAACTGTTGTCGCTGCTTGCATGTCAGCCAGACAAGTGTTGCCAATTCAAAGACGCAGTGTTTCTTGTTCGCACTGTGCACGCTTTCAAAATGGCATCCTATATTTTTATAATATGAATTTATTGCTTCATTACAAAGTTGTTTATCGCCATGAAGGTCAATGAAATATCATGATCTACAGGGTGTATAAAAAAAAACTGAACAGATTTAAAATTGCTCTCAATTTCGCAAAACAGCTATTTGTAGCTGTTTTTTTATATATATAGCTTCTTTGGGTACTTATAATGTAAAATAATGAAAAAAATTTCTCGAACTTAAATTTTGTGAACCAGGGGGGGGTGTCTTTTCCAACAAACTAAAAATGGCTCGCGCACAAAATTTAAAATCTGCAATCATATTTTGAGTTAACAGATGGAAAATTTGTCGGGATTTTAATTACTGTACAAAATTTCAGACAATTTGGTTTAGTTTAAGCCCCTTAAGTATTCACGCAAAGTTACAATTTTCCCGAAAAATCAGCTATTTGCATGCTTAATTAATGCATTTGCCTAATTTGCATATGTCAGCAATATGCAAATTAGGTAAAGGCATAATTAAGCATGCGAAAGGCTGACTTTTTAGAACAAAATGAGTAGTTAAACGGCTTAAACTAAACCAAATTGTCTGAAATTTTGTACAGTAATTAAAAACCCGACAAATTTTCAATCTATAAACTCAAAATATGATTACAGCTTTTAAATTTTGTGCGCGAGCCATTTTTAGTTTGTTGGAAAAGACACACCCCCCTGGTTCACAAAATTTGAGATCGAGAAATTTTTTTCAATATTTTACATTATAAGTACCCAAAGAAGCTATATATATCAAAAACCAGATAGAAATAGGTGTTTTGCGAAATTGAGAGCAATTTCAAATCTGTTCAGTTTTTTTTTATACACCCTGTATAGCTTAGAAAATTAAAACACTTTCATACAATGGCTTTTCAAGCACCAACAAGTACAGAATTTGCTAGGTTTATATGAATTTATAAACTTACAGTTGAAAAAATACATTCATGCATGGAAATGCACAAACTTTGTATTTTTTACGAAAATGTTAATAATTGTCTGGAAATACTTTATTACAAATTTTCGAAAAACTTAACTATCTCAATAAAAATATAGTTTCTGCTTATTTTACTCGGGAAAAAGCTGAGAAAATTGGTAAAAATGAAATGTTAATTTAATGCTCGAAATAAAGTTTAATACACTTTTTGCCACACCAAAAAGTTATGTCTGAATAGATCAGATATTTCATGTCATGAAGTCAAGGTTTTGACTCTGAATGTAAGAGTGCCGTTCCCAGTTTAAGCGTGCCGAACCCAAAAGTTTTAGAACAAAAATTTCGTCGTGTAAACGCAACAGGCGGACCAAAATGCATGGGTCCGCGTGCCAAAATTTAAGCGTGCCGTACCCAAAATGACTGTCGTGTAAACGGGGCTTAAGGAGAGGCCACTAATAACCGATTTCGCTCGACTCTAGGCAATATTTTCTATATATTTCTACCAACCACCAGAAACGTAATCAAGAACTTGTTATGTCCGCTATACTTACGGTGGTAACACCAATATGGCCTCTTCATTTTATATGCATCCGTTCCGTGATCCAGACAAATAAGGGCTTTGGTGGCGCAGTGGTCAGAGTAAACGCCTTTCACCTCTGAGAACGTGGGTTCGATTCTCACTACGCGCCCATGTGAAAAGAGTCAGTCGACGCTCTGCCGAAAGTCGTGGGTTTTCTCCGAGCGCTCTGGTTTCCTCCCACATGCAGGGAAAGTTAACAGGGTTGGTTAGGATAAACATAGTTGGGAAAGTAATATCACAATTGTTGTAAAGATAATTAGGCTAAGTAGGAGTAATAGAAGTAAGCGTAATACATGAGTGAACTGAATAATACATGTATGTATGTATGTATATTTTTAAGTACAATCGCCAGACTTTGCAGCCCCCAACCCCTTCTCTCTACTCGCCTATGCATTTAAAATTCCAATATTTTTGTTGTGGTGTATCATATGTTGTGCACAAATCAACACACGTAATTACTTACGGTAAGTGTTCACATTTGTCTGCTGCCTCGCTTTCGGGACTCAGATCTATATCATGATCTAAGAATTGTCCCCATTGCATGATTGCGTGTGAATACGGTTGATGTGAACGCATGGAGTGAGTCTGTGAGCCAATGAAAGTATGAGCGACAAGGCTGGCTTGTGGAAGGTGACTTTTATAAAACTCATCAGGAGAACCCTTTGGAAGAAATAGCTTGTCAGGGTCAGCGTAGTCTGCCTCGACCATTCTCTCTAACTTGCTATCAGCCGAACCCCAGTGTCTGTGGTGAAGGTTGTTACATGTGCCATCATAGGTACGGTATTTGTGGTAACAGAATAGTGTGTGAGCTTTCTCCTTGGCGGATTTACATGTTTCTGGATTCAATAATCTCTCGATTTTGTGCAAAGAAAACAGCTTCTCGATGTGTAGGCAATCAAAGTTGATGTTTCCTTTTGAAGCTGAAAATAACAAAGACGCTCATAATGAGGTTGGCCTCCGTTTTTAAAAGGTAACGACTTTCCTACTTTTCCTATTGAGGGAGTTTCAGAAATGTAAATATTAAAATGATAATAAATATGAGTTATTAAATGCGAGTGCCTATTTGCCAAAGGAATACATGCATCTTATTGGCAGATTACGTCATCTCTTGGGTATTTAGGAAGCGACATTGCAACTTTAGATCACCCCTAGCTGATGAAGACACTAGACTGGAGTGTCAAAACGTTGGGTCTTGATTACAATTCGACTTGGCTTTGTATTCATTTATATAAACCAGAGTAGCGAGCAAAAACATATCGAGTTATTAATTTCACTGATGATGATCTAGGCGTGTAGGCAGGAAGTTTGAACTGTGGTATTTTTCAGGCACAAAATCACACTTAAGTTGAATTTTAAAGTTGAAGTTCAAATACAGGTAGTGTTGAAGACGCAGTGGCGTACTGTACTATGGGCTTGGACCGGGGGCCCCCAATCCTAATGGGGGCCCCCAGGCTGCAGGCTATAGAGCAAAAACATTGGCCAGGGCCTCTGGTATGTTACAATGTCGTTTTCTAACCATCAGAATTCTGTAAAATCTCTCCCCAAAGTCCGGAAAATGGTATTTCAGAAAGGCCAGATTCAAAAATTTTCCGGGTGAGCATGCTCTGGACCCCCTAGAAAACTCGTGCATATATGGCGCTTGAATTGTGCCTTCGGCACTTGTACTAGGGACCTTCAAAAATTTTGAACCGGGGGCCCCCTGATATAACGCTACGCCACTGTGAAGACGTCCCTGATCCAATAAAACTCTGTTATTTACGTTACTGTAGAATTCGAAAATAATGCCCAGGGCCGGAGCTACGGGGGGGTGTGACACCCCCCCAGTAATTGTATTCAGTCGGCAGGACTGCTATTCAGTCGGTAGGACTGCTATTGAGTCGGTAGAACTGCTATTTGGGTTAAATATTTTTGGCGCAAAGGGCAAGAACGTGGTGGGAATTTTAGGAAAATTTTGATGAAAAATGTAAAAATTTCGGAAAAATGTAACAAAATGTTGAAAATTTGTTATGTTCGGAAAATTTTTGTATGTCCGGAAAAATTTTTGGACCCCTAAAATGGTACACTGTCCGAAATTTTTTTGGCGACGGGGGGGGGGGAAGGTCGACCAAAAATTTCTGATCCGGAAAAATTTTTTTGAACCAGTCGGTTGAATTGGCCTTATTAACACCCCCCTGAAGAATTTCCTGAGGACGGCCCTGAATTAATGCCCACCCCTATACTCTCGAATTTTGCAGCCGTTGGTGGCTAGTATTTTCTGGAGACTAGTATTTTCTCGGGGCTTGCTACTTTTAGGATCCCCGTTCTCCAGCAGAAGTGGAGTGATTCACCACGTTAATTTGATTTTATTAGAACTTTTTTCTAGAGGACGATTGTTGAATAAACAGCTAGTACTACACTAACCTGATCATCAATTAATTAATTAATGGGGGGTGGGGGGGGGGGATACATTAGAGGGAAGGAAAATATTTTTAAATATCATAGAAATAACGTTACGCGCGGACACTACTTTCGGAATTTTACTGTATCATAACTTACGTAATGAAAGTACTTGTACGATCTTTCGTTTCACATAATCTAATAACATTTCTTGTTTTGCGTCTATCATTGCAATATCCTCCGAGGTTTTTGTAATTCTTCTAAAAACTCGCAGTAAAAACGAAGGCGTGATTGTCTTGTTCGTTATTCCTTTATAAATATGATTAACAAGCTTTTCTCGTGTTACATGTTTCAAAGCTTCTTCCACAAACTTATCTCCAAAATTCCCCCGTAATGCTATGATGCGAACATTGACGATGGCACAACGTCTCCTTTTGCCAAATTTTTTGCATCCAAGCACTTTGAAAAATAGACGTCTAGTGCCGTCTCTACGAAGACGTACAAAGTTCTTGAAATCTTTTCGGAGTGTAATGCTTCCTGTTAGGCTACCAATTTTTAGAACTTGCAGTTTGCTTCTTGGTATTATTCTGTAAGTGACTGGAGAGGGACCATTTCGGACCTTCACGTTGAGTGAGGCGAGTTCTTTGCCAGCTTTGATATCGTCATTGACAAAGTATGTCAAGATCTTTGCTGGAAATGAAATCTGACCTGCAAAATAGAAAAATATAAAGTATGTAGACAGATGCGAACGATTTCTAATATTTACAGCAAATAATTACTCACTAGCCATAATGAAATGATGCACTAATTGCAGCACATTACTGACTTTTTGTCGGATGCAAAACATTTTTAGAGACCGCTCTTTTTTTATCTGAAAGGGGCTGAAGGAATTTCGTGTGCCTTTTAAAACTTTCGTATGGCCAACTCCTTCATGTCAAATTTTTACCAGTGGGCCACCCTTTAACACAATGATATAAAATTCAATTAAGCTCTCTGACCATTGACTAATTTTTCAAATATACCCAATACTAGACAGACAGAACTAGCCTCCTCCGCAGGCATTTCTATGGGTTTCAGCCTGCGAATGGGTAGTTCGCAAAACATTTTTTTCCGACCAACCCGAATCCCTAGAGATGGCTGCGGAGAGACAGAACAAGTTCTAAATATGACTACGAGTGTTAAGAATAGGTCATCCAAATTTAGCGTGCTTTTGTACACTCAAAACGTTTTATATTATTAATAAAATTAGGATATATATGCGTTTATACCTTTTGAATGACACTTTTTTGTATCATTCCAAGCAAAAATGACCAACTACGAGTCGATTTAAAATAGCCAATCAAAATCATATTTTTTTACCGTCATGCAGTTCATGCATCATTATGAAAGACGTACATACAACTCATGCATAACTAAAAAGCAATTAATCACTAATTAAATCCAAAAGGATTTACTTTCATACGCGGTTTTGCCATAGAAATATGTCTATTATTTCTATGGGTTTTGCGCGCAATTCCCAACGATCGATGAAAAAATGTGATAGGCTTAAGGATGAGAGTTGACTTATGAGAGTTGGCAGTTGGGCATAGTTACGGGGGACATTTGAAGCACCAGTAGATTAACAAAATAAAGGTTTGATGAGCGTTTCAACTCCGTTTTAAATTAAATAAAATACATAATAATATTGGGAAAGTATATTAAGAACAGGCGGAACAGCTAACTAAGATGGCGTGGCTGCCAAGTCTCATGCGCTTGTATGTGCACGAGCAACGAAAACAAAAGGCTTTCATCTTTTGTTGAAACTTCTGCATTTTTTCGTGCCGTATAGCATTGTCATAGCCCAAGTATTAAAGTCTTTCATTGCATGATAAAATGTTCAAGCCCTTGAGTCAATTTAAAAGTCTTTTTTCAATATAAAAACAAGACCCCTGCTAGCTCAGGCGTTGACAGTAGCCCTGTGGTATAGCAAAATACAAAACCTGCAGTTTTGGCCTTTTGGGTGTAGTAGACTAGTAGTGAAGTGTTGATGGGGATGCAGTAACGTGCGTAGCAGGCTAGCAGTTAAGGATGCAGAATAACTGGTTCCTCCTTAAAAACGTCGGTGGATGGTAGGCCAATTTCGAATCACACCTAGTTGGTTTATACAAAGGGCAAGAAAGTTGTTACTTGAGCAACTGCACCCTTATCCAAAAACCACATTATAATTATCTTTAATCCTCCGAACGTTTTTGTCTGTTAAACCCTCTTTGGTTACTACTTTAATACTCTTACAGCATAAATACCCCCTCGGCCCCACGTTTCAAATGCATGCAGGCAAATATAAAGAGGAAAGCAAATTTCCCAAGGAGATTCACATCATCATAGTCTGTCAAGATATGATGGTCGGGAAGCCCGGCAAACTTCAAAGTCACAAACTAGAAGAGCTTTGTTTGATGTTGAACTGTACCTCACTATGCACAAATCCTTTGTCTCAACTTCATTAAATATTATTCATTGCACGTTTCATCTCAGCTCTCCCTATTGGACGATTACTTCATTATACGATTTATATTTTTATACGAAAATAAATACAACGAGCTCAATCACCGCGACCGTACACAAATTAACATAAACTCGGAGAAAAACATAATACAAAGACTTCTGTTCACTTCAGACCATCATATCTTGGTAGACTATGATATACGATCATAGTAACTGTGTATTGGTTCAAGTGAATTCTTGAATATATGAATATTCAAGACAAAGTTTTAACAAACATTTGCTTTTTTGTTGATGAGAATTTTGCATCACCAAGTAAAAAATGTGAAAGTAATCGTAGGTCGTGAGTTAAGGTAACAATCCAAGACAATATTTGCCATAATATCTGTGTCTGTGACGTCATAACGACTGCTATTTTGAATGGGGTGGGTGCATGGCGTAATCATAGGTAACTTTGTATGGGTGTGTGTGGAAATGCAACTTTGTGACAATAATAAAGCAGACAATGCCCATTTTAAATCACTGATCACTTTGGGGGCAGTGTAATAACATGCTTTGTTTAGCGAATAAAGTCAATAAACACTTTTACTTAATTCAAAGGGCTTTGATAAGGGTCGTGAAGTGCATGTTTTTAACTCATTATTGTATATAGAAAGACATTCAAATCTATAATATTTCTTCACGATCAAAGGATAAGATTGCATGCATGCGTGGGAACATATGAGACTTGCAGCCAGCTAGGGACAAATAAAAAACGCTTTGTCCGGACTGTAGTTTCCATTTGGTCATAACTGCATGTATGACCTAATCGCGTTCTGCAGCTATGATTTTCCGGAAGGGAAACGTACTCTTAAGATAAAAATGAGAGCCAAATCAGCCAATGCATGCTTTTAAATATAGCCATACACACAAACATATATTAATGTTTTATTGAAAGTGACGTTACGTCTCAAAACATCTTCATATTATCAGTGGAATCACAATAAACAAAGAGTGGGAATAAATTTAAGTTACCATATTACAAGATACTTTATATTACACTACAGATACCGGAAAACAAGGAAATGAGAGTGTGAGCGGGATAGAATAGGAAGGCGAGAATTAAAGTAGGAACTAACGTGCTTGTTTGAATTTAGAAATTAGAAGATTATAATTGGTTTGAAATTAGAAGATTTCGCGAGAAAGAATTTTGAAGCCGTCAGTCGAAGCTGTGGCCAGTGGCGCGCACCTCAAAACCACTGGCACTGCAGCACTGACCACGTGATGTTAATTAATCTGGATCTGTAGAATATCTATACATCGACACTATATTTCATTGGCCATCTTGATATATGACCGTTACAATTAAATGGAAACCAAGCTTCAGCAATTTTTAGTAATTTTTGCTTTGAAAACAGAAGGCCAGATAGATTGAAAGGGAATTACATTAATCTATAATCAATTCCAAACAAGAGCCACTTCGTATCATATATACGTGTATATATAGGCTCGATTATTTGTTACTAACTTACGCTGTCTATTGAATTGTTGTACATTTTTTGCCCAAATATCATAACGTTCCATTTACATATTTTGAATACAATAATATGGCTCTATATAAGGGCCTATAGTATATATATCAGAAACCTTAACAGGTTTTTTATTCAAGACCCCTGCCCAGCCACATCGAAGTAAGTAGTTGTTTCTATTTAATACTATATAAACCAAATTTAAAATAATTATGTAAAAGAAAATGACAAAAAGGTGCAAAACTATATATACAGTATGAAATAGCTACTACATTGCATAATTGACTAACTATTTTGATATTTATTGCAACTTATTGCATATATACATAACATTTCACTTACTTGATGTAAAGCCAGGACTGTGAACAAGACATATAGCGAGAATAGCTATCACTCTGATATATATCGACATATCTGCATTGATGTGTTCACTTACGGTTTCTGATTAATTCTCATTTACCATGTCTCTTTTATAGTGTACACAGTTGCAAAACCAATATCCATTTACAGTTATTCCGGATCCTCTGTGAGACTTTTTCATTGTTTATTCTGTAAAAAGGATCTTTCTTACTTAGCCCTGATATAGGTCTTTAATTAACCAGCTAAAAAATCATCATTTTAATCGAGAGTAGAGGCCTTTGTTTGGTTTAACTGCATGGTTTTGGTCTATATAACGCAATGTGACAAGTGTTTTACAATGACTTTTTAAGCTTCTTGTTTAATTCTGTTCTTTGATAGGCAAGCCGTGTCAGCCTTTTTTCTTATTTTTTACAAATTACTGAATTATGACTTATGTCAGCCATTCAATCATTTTTGACAATGCCTGATCGGCTGATGGTAAATCATTATGATAGTAATATAGTATTTATGTTAACCCATCGTGAATCAGTAACAGCCTTAAAAGTGGTTTCACATAAGCGATTAGGGCCATCAGTTTTTCTATTTCATTAACATACTGTAAGTCATAACCACAGACATATAGTCGTTAGCTTGTCCAAAAGTAAAGACAAAGACTGAAAACATTAAAGTTATAAAGAACTATACATAATGTCAATATCTAAGTCTTTTGTTTTGAGTCCACGTATGCTCTCTGTTACTGATGTTCCTCCGTCATACAACTAAATTTAAGTGTTCTACTCATAGTACAGGAATACACTCAGGATATTCTTCTCTGTCTCTGGACAGAAGGTAGGTGCGTGAATATACGCATGTGACGATTAGGAAAGTCTTCGCTCGGGCGTGCCGAATGATATATTGTTGGGGGGTGAACTAAAAAATCCCCCCCCCCTTCCTTTCGATGGCCGCCTGAAAAAAAACAAAAAAATTTTCCAAACATTATTTTGCGATAATCGGGGGTTAAAATACTTTTTCATATCTTTTTCGACTTCAATTTTTCAGAATATTCCTTAACATATATTTAACACGTTCCGCAATTCCAGCATTTTGGGCCCCCTTCTGGGGAAGTTGGGCTCCCTTTCTTGACTTTTCTTGAGGGGGTGGTGTGTTACACCCCCCTCCACACACATACACACACCACAGTAGTTCCAGCCCTGAGTGTTCGTGAAATACTTGTGGAACTGAATTTTTTAATTGGGGCTGGACCATTAAAAAGGTGAGGTAGTGGGGAAAGAACAGAAAAAATTCATACAAACAGGAAATTTCCGAAAAAAATGTATACAAGCAACTGGGACACCAAGCGAACCTTAAAGAATGCATGCATATGATGATCTGTTCTGTAGAAAATCTCCAACACTATACACGGGTATACGGTGTGACGTGATCGGTGAATGTAAAGGATGGAATTGCCGTGGTGAATTGCACGAGGAATGGCATGTGGATGACTGAGGAACTGGTTAGGATTGGGTTAGGGTTGGGTTAGGGTTGGGTTAGGGTCGATAAAGCTTCTTACAGACACATTTCCTAAAACATCTAGAAACTCAATATATCAAATAAAATTTATCTTAAATTTCTTAGTCTATTAAAACCTTAAACGCTGTTAGTGAATACAACTGAGTACAACTGAGTTAAAATCTGTAGAGTACAACTACTAGATTCCAGTCCATCATTGTTCCATCACTCCCAGTTATGGATAAATAACTTTAGACAATATTGTTGTGATAGTAGTTAATTTTACTGGAGAAAAATCAGAAAATACATGAAGTGATAAAGGATAGAGCCGAGCCTATAGTAATTCATGACCTGCATCAATATGCTTTGATTTCCACATCTTTATGCATATATTTTGCAAGCACATTTTCAAATAATTTTTGCGCTCCCAGACATACAAAACAATTATCGACCCTTGGGACCTCTGGATTTGGGTCAGGATCAAGGTTAGGGTTAAAAAATGTTTCGAAATTTGCGCTCGCATGCCATTCCTCATGCCATTCCACCTTTTACATTTACACTATTTACCAAGACGTGATACGAAAGTGGCAAATGTTTTTTCAAACTCAGTCTTTGTATTGAGCTGAATTATTCACGATTCTAGTTCGTTATTAATTTTCTAAGATTTTTATAATAATTGAAAGAAAAGCAAAATTTGACCTAGCACAAAACGCTGTTTAATCGGGGAAAATATTATAAAGAAAAAAAAATATAAATACTTTGAAAATATATAATTATACCACTAAAAGATCAATGTGACATGATGGCATTTTATTCATGCTTTTTATTCACGCGCATGTGAGAGCCCGTCTGTTGCCAAGTCAATATTGGCTTTCAATCTTTCATTAGCGGACGAGTTTCTCTTTGCATGACTTCATTTCATGGCACTTGGCTCAAAGACTTATTGTTTTATTCAGGAAAACAGGCAGCAAATCATTGGTAAAACATACGATGTCGATGGAGTATAGGCATGGCAAATAAGAAAGTTTGAGAAATTTCACTTGTCTATCTTCACACTTGGACAGGATGATACTGTTATAGATTAGGCCTACTTACAGCACTTATCCAATAATTATTGCTTACTCTTTGGCACTTTGCTTGGTTGAAATTATTGATGTAACTGTAGTAGTTAAATATGAAATAGTAATTTGTTAATAATTAACTACGTAAATTGTTGGCAACCTTAACACCATGTTAGTGCGAGGCCATTTTTGCTGCATTGCTTCATGTGACACACCTAGTGGTGTTGCAATGATAAATTGCGTTGCGAATTGTATTAATAATAATTACAATATTTAATCTGAGTCCACCCAAAAAGTGATTTTCTGTGGAGCTCTGAGCAGAAAATAATAATAATGCGTAATAATGATTAATGTTAAAGCTTATAAAGGTTTAGCGCGCTACGGTAGAGTGTCTTAATTCTAGTGAAAAATGTTTCTTTAGTTTAATTTTAAATGATGATGACAATGATGAAAATTGTTTTACTTTCCGGCGTTATACAGGTTGACTGTTCCAACCGGTAGTTGAATGCTTGCTTCCTCCACTAGTTTTCTTGGCGCGCACTCCAAATGTAAGTTCTCGGTTTGTTTCGGATGTTGTAGCTGTGGATGTTAGACGAGTACTTGAAGTTAAATCTGAAGTTTATTGTTTAAAACACTTACGCATGAGGAAGAAACGGTGAAAGTGTCCGCGCATTGACAACGCCTGCCTCTTCAACGATCTTATAGTGATCCCAATTAGGGGCTGACGAGAGTGGTGAACGTCAAGACTTGAAGATGATTCATGAGGAGTGAGGACAGAGTTGTTGTTATCATCCCATACGAAATCAGCGTACACTGTAAATTTCGAGGAGTTGAATCAACTGCACGAAAAGTGTTATTTTGTCACCAAAAACAGTGACAGAATACTATAAAACGTTTGGAGTTGATTCAACTCCATGAAAAGTGTTACTTTTTCAAAAAAACAGTGTAAACAGAATAAAACGTTTGGAGTTGATTCAAGTCCTGGAAATTTACAGTGTAGTGGATCAGTATTTAACTCGATCAGATCGATAATGTGTTGTGCTACAATATTATTGGTACTATTGGTCTACAGCCTTCTCAGGTAATTCTGTGGTAGAAGAACCTCTGATCTCCGACACCCAAATCAGTAAATTCACTGTTCTGTCCTGCTGCCCTAATTCGGCCCCGCGGCATTGGCATCAATTTATACATGAACTTGCGGTTAAAGCTCAACAACTGGACTCTGTAAGCAAGGCCGGCTTAGGCCGCAGGTTCCATTCCTGCCAGATGGCTTATAATTGTATTCGAAATGGTTAGGTCCAACAATGTATAAATTCACACTCGAAATTTCCATCTACAAACTCCTTCATTCTTCAACAATTAGCTTATATTGAAACAAGGACAACTTGTTGTGGGATGATTACCTACACTGAACCCCCACGATTGAAATATTTCATCAGTTCCGTTATATTTTCTAGATGCTAGTATAACAAGGTATTTCACTTCTTGTGCAATTAAGTCATGGACACAGAACATGGACATAACATGCAGGGGCGCACATTTAACAAATTGCTGGGGGGGGGGGGCTTGTACGTCTTCTTGTACTCTACAACAAGTGGCAGCGGAACAGGTTTTATTTTGGGAAGGCTAATCAGTTCCAACTAATTTGGGAATCCGGCATAGTTAAGATTTTCAGCTAAGTGCAAACAGCACGCAAAACATGATTTAATTAACTGTAACAAAGTAGCATGGAAGCATTACACTCCGCCTGTACGCCCCTGTGGACATGGTATACAAAAGACTTTATATTCAAATTTAATTTACGTTATCAAACAAGAGTCTCACAATATACCGCTGTAAGTGCCTATAGGTTTGGCTGATAGCCTGATACATGCTCATACGACATCGTAAAATATTTCTTTTTAATAAAGATTACATCCCCATATTCTCCATGACGTAGTTTGCCAGTTCACATCTCCATCTCCTCCATGACAAAATTTGTCAGAAGGAAGGAATTAATACTAGAACAAATGCATTATTAATTTTCTTCACTATTTTAATTATCGGTGTGAGCATCAGTCACGGATACGGGAGGAACAAAAAATAGTAATATACATTTAAATGATAACTTAAACATTTTTACAGCTAGGCTTCTCACACCCCCTTTTAGTAACAGAGCATATATGCTAGCTCAATTACTGCTAGCATATGCTCTGTTACTAAAAGGGGGTGTGAGAGGCATGCTCGCCACAGGAACTTTTGTATTCCTAGCTAGGCCCAGGGTCTGTATAAAGAAACGGAATTTCTTGCAATCTGAGACGAGCTCTAAAGATAGCCCATAAAGTAGACCTTTCCGCTTTCGTATGTCTTAATTTGGTGAGATCAACGTCATCAACCAGATAACTCACTCGACATGAAACATAAGGCTGCTTGCTGACCAGGCAACAGTTGTCATCTTCTGATTCTCATCAATTATCATACTTTTGGTGCGTGGCCGAAAGACTGCAACTTTTTAGGCAATATGAATAGACGGTTATCGTTATTCCAAAAATATCTGATTCCACCACATGCATAAATACAACATTAATAAATATTCTACTATAACTATTTTACAACTAGTCTTTTAAATTTACAAATAGTAAGCTTTCCAGTCACAACTAGCCCGTTTTTTATCCCCTGACATTTGGACTGCTAATATCAGCATTTAGTCAACCTCGCAGTGAACGATTATGGGGATTTAAGTAACGAAACTGAAAAATGAATTTAATACTTCACTACGGCTGTTGCCTAGGACTAATAAATGGTATAAATTCTCATTCACAAAATTTTGGATGCCTCCTCTTAGTATCTAATTGCCTGATTGCCATAATTATACGACCACAATATGGAAACTAAGAACTGGAATACGGTTGACGTCATAAAATTGTTGCAATCTTGTCCTCAGGCTATTACTTCGTGCGACTTCGTAGTAGAAACTGTTCTAGAACCTAAATCCTTCATGAACTGAGTTCACTCCTCCACTCTTCAGTAGAATAGGTAAAAGTTTCTTTGAGTGCACTCTTTGTTCCATTATAAATACATATGATCTTAAAATAGAACGGTATTAAAACTACTAAGTTGCCATAGCCTTTTTAAAATATATAAACCATAGGCGTACGAGACTGATGCCTTCTAGGGGGCAGTTTAAAGTTTGTCCGAATTTTTATGTTTGATCGTAATGAAATAACCTGAATTTAACATATCTTCTGATCGATAACGCATTTTTCTTATTTGGAATAAAAAAATTATTTCTTATAAAAAAACATTAAATTATTATAGAAGGTTTCTCTTTCATGTCTTTCAGAGGCGAAAACACTTTATATAATAACGTTAAGAATTCAAAGGTTTTCATTGGTGATGGTCGAGACCCATTATCTAGCTATTAGAGGACAGACGTCACACGTAATTACGTCACACAAAACCTTATCGAATAGCATTCCCTTATTTTATAGATCATAATTTCGACTTTTTCAAATTTCCAAATATTTGGGTGGATATTAAAAAGCTATTTACCTGTTGTCAAGGACTGCATGTTTTTATTCAGCTATAGCAAATTTGATTGTATTTCCGGGCCTCTTAGGGGGTGGATCATGTGGGTGTGTACCCTATCAGACGGCTGAGGACTCGAAGCACATTTGAACCGCAGTTCATTTTCGTTTTTTTTTGCTGTATGGTGGATTACAAGCTAGAGCAATTTCTATAGTAAAAGGTCATTTGCGCCTGTGATTTGCGCCAATAATTCCGCAAATTGAATCAATCCTCAGCAAATCCATAAAATGAAGTAGTACCCTTATAGTAGCAATGTTCGCGGGCACATATTCAATATTTAAATTAAAAATAAATTTAAAATTTCTCTATTTTTTTGTGTTCATACACTGTAATTTTAATATAGTGGAAATCAAATGCTCTATCATAATAGTATCATTTATTTAATTTTTTCACATTATGCAAAATCAGACAGATATTGAAGGTAAGATAAACAAGTAGATTGATATAGTGTGAATGTGATATAGACAACACTTCGTTGGTTATTATATGTTTGTTAAAATCTTTCTAATAGAGAGTTTCTATTTATTATTTATAATTTTTAGGACTCATTGGACGTCTGACTCAAAAGCAAGACAACAGTGTTAAAGCAGGCTGCAAGAAATGTGGTTATAGTATGTATATTTACAGTAGTAAAGTATAGTAGTAACAGTGTCAGTATGATGGTACTTATGCATGAGTCAATTCCTGGAGTAACCATCCCCCCCCCCCGGGACACCCCCGGGAGTTTGCCCGATAGACAGTTCACGGGGGTCGGGAATTTGCCTTTCATATATGTGCTCGGGGGCCCAGTATTGGAGGACCCCGGGGATTTGACAAATGGTTGCCCAGAATCCCACCCACAAATATTAAGGCAGCAAAACCTAGTTTCAGGCACGCATGTGGGCATGCTGATCGTATTTTGTGCCCTCGTGGTCAAGGTGGCGTGAAATTTATTGTAAGAATAAGCAAAAATTATACCCTGTGCCATGCAAATTTAAATACAACTATTAAAGGTTTATGTTTTATAATATTCCATAGCAGTTTAATACTATAATGTTATTAAATGACTATGATTATATGCCATTAAAAGTTTAATTAACGTTTACAGTCGATTTCACGAAACTTTGACCACAAATTTTCCGAACTTCGTTGCGAAGTTCACAAGATTGTTGCGAAGTTCAAAAGTTCATAATGAGATTCACAAACCAGTTCGTAAGCTACGCATTTGATTGGCTTCTTTTACTTCACGGACCAATCAGGGACTTCAGGGTCTGAAATTTGATTTTTTTTTAAGTATCCACATGGATACCAAGGTTTTAAAATTTGGTATCCCTCCCGATAATCCAGTATCCTAAATCTGGATACTTAACTAGTTGGCTTTTCGTATCCCACAGGGCCAGACCCAACATCACTCTAAGGCTTACTCTTAGTCAACTATACGTCAAGCATTTTCGTCCATCGCATTTTATGTTTAATATACTAGAATCCTAAAAGGAACTTATACAGTTCAAATATTCAATTTCTTAACAGTTAACAGGTTTATTTAATTATAGATTAAAGTCTAAGTGTCGATTTCTCTGATTTTTAATGCTATCAGTATGCACTCAAATGGGAACTACAGCGTCATTATCATCATCATTGGCTGTATTATCATGAAGACCATTGCCTGCATCAGGAGTTTTGGTGGTTTTAATTAAATATTTTTTACATAATATCACAAGAAAGCATGGATTATTTATGAGTATTTTAGTTCATGACGGCAGCAAAAAAAATGTATTTCTTTTTTGCTAACTATCGACCTTCAAATTTCCTTACAATCTTCTTGACTTTTCTTCACGTGCCCGCGAATACCGCCTGCTACGCAGGCTAGACTTTTCTTGATTTCAAAAAGATTTTTTTCAATGAAGTCTGGACAGTTGTTTCAATGTGGAAACACTATTCAAAATGGCGACTCGCGAATTGAACCATGAGTGGACTACATGCATAAATACAACGTTAAGACGAATGCTAGACTTGTGTTACAGCACTATTTAATGAACAAAAATGTGGGGAGACTACTAAAACATTAACTGCTATCCCGTTTTTTAAAAAAATGTGGTATCCCATCGGGATACAAGTAAAATAAACTTAGTATCCAAAACCAAATTTCAGTATCCCGTGGATATCGGGATACCGCAAATTTCAGACCCTGGACTTTGTTTACAAATTGGCTTGTGAATTCCAATATGAGCTTCCGAACTTCGCAACGAACTTGCGAACTTCGCAACGAAGTTGGGAACACTTGTGGTCAAAGTTTCGTGAAATTGACTGTAAAATCGTTGAATAATGACTAATACAATTCTAAAGTATTATGACACTATTATGGTAATCACAAGTAATGTACTATAACGGTACTACAATTCTATGATACCATGACAAATTATAAAGTGCTATGTTATTACCGAGGGACCCGCCACGGTTGAAATCTCGTACACTCAGACTCAGAAATCAAACCCAAAATCAAGAAATCATGAGAGAAATCAGTGAATTTTGAAATCAGAAATCACTCAAATCACTTGAAACTTCGTTATTATTGAGCCCACAGTCTATATGACAGTGGTCTCCAGGCCTCAAAATAAGTGCCAGTCACTGACTGGTAAAATTTCACAGTTTGACCGACAAATATCGTCTCCTGCTGGACATGCGTGACCGGTAAATATTTTAATAAAAGCAGATTTTTGATTTCCAATTTTCCAAAGAAGTGTATGTCCATCTACGGTGCAAGCTAATAAGGGCGGCAAAGTGACACATTTTGTCATACAGAAACGATATACCGCAAGCGTTGGGCTGTTGTCCAGTTATGCGTTTTTCACACGTGCGACAGAAAAGTTTAAATCTTTTAAAATTTCATATAAGTGCAAATAACCTTAACAAATACACATTAAATCATACACAAAACTGAATGCTGCCCTTTTATAAATTTAGTTATTTCATAAGTATAAGGATGTAAAGCGATTTCAACTTTTACGTGCGAAAAACGCATAACTGGAATGCAGCCTTAAAACATGCTCGCAACTATATTAATTTGCTTGTAAACAATGTTTACTTAATGTTATTAGTATTGATTACTACTACAGCTTTGATAAACACCATACTTGTACTTTGTATACAAATACAATTAAAATACACAGGAGTGACTCACAATGACCGGCATAAATTCCGCTGTGACCGGTAAAGTTTATAGTGATCCACCGGTCATAATGACCAGACAGTATAACATCCAGATTTATTTCAAGGCCTGTTGGTCACCGGCAGAAATCAGGTAAGCCCAAAGTCTATATGACAGCGGTCACCCATGGAAATCAGGTTAGAAATCAAGAAATCAGGTTAGAAATCACCTGATTTCGAAATGCGCTTTTGAATGCTGTGGCAATAAATTATTCTTGAAGTACAGTAAGTGATCAACTATATGTGCACAATGCCTACCAGGGTGTTAGCCAGGTGGCCGTCCGACTGTCCTATGGACGGCCACTTCTGAATTTGGACGGTTAAATTTTAATGGACGGCCAAGGACGGCCTAAGGGAATATTTTCTTTAAATAGCAACCTACAAGCTTTGTCATATTTCTTGAATACTTCGCGCCATATTTTTGTAAAACGCGCCAGGTTTTTCTAACCATTTTGATGATTCTCGCATGAAGTATCAAGGAGAATAATGTGAAACCGCTGTTTTAAAAAACAGCAATCGCTTTATCCGTTGAGCGCCGCGTTACAGTTACGGTAGTGATCATACCATACGTGTGCTTTTATTAATTTAATGACGGAAATGTGCATATAATATTAAAAGTAAAAAGGAACACCACAATTCCTCAACAACAGAAAATTGCGGCCACGCCCAAAAACATCCCACAAAAATATGTTGCCACGCCCACAAAATTATTTTGGACGGCCACTTTTGAAATCCTGGCTAACACCCTGATGCCTACAAGTAAAATTTAAATATTTACATATGGTACGTTACATAGGTATCTCTAGTCATTATATGTTATCTAGTCATCTAGGTATAGGCTTGTTCCATAGATAATTGTTCTTCATTTCATGGCTTGCTTGATCAGAAATCATTGCAAACTAGGTATCTAATAAACCATGGATGACCATGGTTAGCCTTTCTTGCGTGGGATGGTCAACTGCAAAAAAAAAACCATGAAAAAGTGCAACCACATTGTTGGGTTCTGAGTGGTTGTGTATTGTAGCACAGTTTTTTTTTTATAATAATGGTACTATTGCACTATGGTAAGTAGCTGGTACTTTTGTTTTATGGACTACAGAAATATTGGACAACAGTACTGCATGGTAGTTTTATAGTGTTAGTGTACTGTACATGTATTAATTATTATATGGTACCAAGGTTTTATAGTATCTGTGGTTAAATGGTTCTACCTTACAGGCAGGGATGTGCCGAGTGATATCTGATTTTTTGGGGGTACTTCGGACTTTTTCGACCTCAATTTTTCAGAATATTCCTTAATATTTAACACGTTCCGCAATTCCAGCATTCTGGGGCCCCCTCTATGGAAGTAATTGTGCCCCCTTTCTTGACTTTTCTTTGGGGGGTGTTAGACCTTGGTGCTACACAATTTTAGGTGACTACATCATGAATAAATTAACTGAACTAATAGGGTAATACATTGTTACGTGGTCTGTATATGGTACCTGTTTAAGTAGCACTGTTGTCATAAGCATGGGTATGCAGTAGTCTAGTACATTCCTTTGTTCAAACTGCTGACGGCTGACCTCCTTGACATATTAGTTACTGTGGTTAGGAAATCATTTTCTTCATTTTTCCCTGAAGCCAAGACTGCCAAGTCAGCAAATGTTAAATACTAGTCAACTTGTCTTGTTTTGTATACTGTATGCAAATCAGTCTTGACTGGTTCCAGTCAAAATTATATAGTGACATATTACTCATGCCACTAAATAGAAACAGGTTAAAGTTTTCAGGAGCACATGTAAACCATTAGTTTGTGTCGTATAACTTACCAAATAAAACGCAATGTGAATGTAGTTTTAATAGTTGTAATATTCATTGTAAATAGAAATTACATAATTCAAGGGACGAATGGTTTTGCGATGTGATTTTAATTAAACTATCTCTATTTTTAGCTGGCCATTTAACATTTCAGTGTCGAAATATTTTAAAGATTGATTCAGAACATGATGTTGTTGTGGATGTAAGCAGTACCTCAAGTGAAGATAGTGATGATGATAGCTTGCCTTCTTCTTCAGAAGGTAAACTAAAATGTGCATTTTAGATATATATATATATATATATATATATATATATATATATATATATATATATATATATATATATATATATATATATATATATATATATATATATATATATATATATATATATATAAACTATATATATATATATATATATATATATATATATTATATTATATATATATATATATATATATATATATATATATATAATATGTATATATATATATATATAT